GTGAGAAGAATTATTTTTAATATAGAAGAGTTGGGTACAACCCTTGTTTTGGGGGTTTCCATGAGTTTGTGGGGTTTCCATGTGTTCATATACACTGTATTTTGGTTATTTTTAAAGTAAAGGTGAAAAAAAAAAAGGAAAAGAACATGTTGAAATTTCTAATTGCTCTATGCTAGTTTTTTCACTGAGCTGACAATCACCATTCTAAACAACCTGTTTTATCCATCGGTAGCGTGTTTCTAATCTCATATGATCTCACTGGGGCAGTAAAGTCCTTTGGAATAAACCAGTTTGATCCTGGCATGGGTTGGTGCTCTTTCTGCAATCAGCATTTAAACCTGTGCTGCTTTTTATTTGCATTAAGCTGTCTAACCAGTTTTTTTTTGAAAGCCTAATGGATTAAATTTTACTTCCCGTTTCCTTAGCAGAGATGAAGCATCCAAGTGCTTTTTCTGCTGTTTACCTTCGGAGCAGACGGTTCTTGTTCTTCTAGTTCTCCTGCATAGAGCCAGGTACACAGTGTCTGCTGGGTTACTGTAGTAGTTTCTCCAGGAAATGTTAAAACACAGCCTATTTTTGTTCACTTTTGGACTAACTTTAACTGGAAAACCTTTTGGGATGAAAGGTAAGATTCATTTCAGTTTTTCTCATGTATTCAGAAAGTTTCTCCTAGTCTTCTCATATTCTCTGGTCCTGATCATAATGTTGCACAGCTTTGAAATCAAGCCCTGGCTCTCCCCAGGCATTAGGCTATTAGCTGACCTGCTAATTGAGAAAATAAAGAAAGAGGTGAAGGGAAAAGAATCCAGGTTGGAAGCTTTTTATAGCTGAGCTCTTTGTGGTTTCTCCTCCAGGATGTAGTAGGTACGTAAATACACCCCCTTCTGCACAGGACACTGATTGTGAGAACTGCGCTTTACTCTCATCAGTAGTAAAGACTGTAGAAAAGGATTTCTTCTCAGTAATGCAAGGGAAATCCCTGCAGTTTTGTTTTAGCTCCTCATTAACTCGTTGCCATTTATGATTTGGCTGCAGATATGAATTTAGATGGATTTTGTGATTTAGTAGTAAAATTGCTGAAGATTAAGAACAAAGAAGTAAATGTCGAGAGACGATCATTCGACCGAGACCCGTTTGCCAATAGCAACTTCCACATTTTAGTTGCAGTGGCAGCCTTTAATGTTAAATATATGCTACCTGCACCTACCTTTTTGAAATCCTGATGTTATCTAATGGGTAGAGATCACCATTACACTGACGAATCCTCCTCTCCACTTTGAATCAGTGATTCTGTGGCTCCTTTGCCATTATAAATTCCTTTCACAGACATGTGGGAGGCTGAGGGTGACTTTGGACTGCCATAAATGAGAAGAAATCTCTTTGTTTCCTTATGCAAGGACAATTTAAGAAGGAAGAAACTGCTTCCATTGTTAAAACCCATGTTATTACTGTTTAAAAGCAATGGGTTTGCCTCTGTTGATCGCACTCAAACCAGACTGATGAGCAGACAGGAAAAGGGAAGATGAATTCAAGTTCACACAGTTATAAATAAAGTCACTAGAGATTGTTTTTGTCTTTATAAACTATTCACCTAAAACCAGATACTCAGCAGCCTTCTTACCTGTAGCTTTCCACATTAGCATGATGTTCTGGAGATAATCCTGATAACAGTGTAAAAGGCCAAAAAGCTTTTGCAAGGGTTTGGCTGTGGTTGGAACAAACAAAATGCAGCAATGTCAGGCAGTGGCTGGAGGCAACGCTGTGAGCCAGGATTATAGACACAGCAAGTGGCAGAATTACATCCAGAGGACAACTCTGAAGTATTCCTCATTTCGGGCAATAGGGAAGGGAATATGAGTAAAGTGATTTAAATGGAAATAGAGGACTGAAAGGAGAGTTTGTTTACTCAAGTAAAGGGCAAAAGGAAGTGGAGACATGAGCAAGAGGGAGAAGTGAACAAGTGCAGGACATAACAGTAACTAGGAGGCAATAGCACAGCAAATAGCTCTGTACACAGTAAAAAAAAATCCACACTTTATTTGGGGGTTGAATATATGCTAATGGAGATACAGTTTTCTCCAATTCTCTATAAATTCTGAAATATCCTGGCAAAGTTGGATCTATCATTCAAAGCAATAGTACTATATGTCTATATAGAACCATGCTATGGATTCACAGATCAGCACAGGCTTCCTGGCACTGACAAAGTGATTTCACAAAGCTTGAAGGAACTTAATTCTATCTGAGATGTTAGCATCCTTTGTACAGGTGGTTTTCACTTCAGAAATTACCGTGAGGGGACAGATGGGTGGACAGAGAGGGTACCTGCATGGGTTTTCTGTGGTACATCAGGTTAGAAGTGCAGATCATGGAAGAAGAAAAACTGTTTCAAAACTGAAAGACAAAGTTAATAATCCAGGATATGTGAGAATGAAGAAAAACTGTGTTTAAATCATTCAATAGTTTCTCTTGAGCTCTCCAGACCTCAGCTGTTTCTTCATCACTATCGAAGTACGCACTGAATACAGGAAAGAATTTTTTATCATTACTCTTTTTTTCTTGTTCATGAGATTCTCTATTAAGTTCCTATCATATCAGTTGAGGGATTTATGTTTTTTTCAGTCAAAAAATAATTTGGTTTGATATTGGCTCTATGAAGGAATGAGAAAAAATGGAGCTAATACCCAGTTTATAATGTAAGTAACTAAGACCAAGAGGTAAAGCTAAGATTGCAGCCAGTTTGGGACACGCTGTTTAAGAAAACTTTTGCTTAAATTCACAGGTTTTAACACTTTACATCAGTTGTGTTTGGAATGCTGCAGTCATTAGCCTTAAATACAGTCAAAACAGCATTGCTATAGGGAATGAGGCCGCATACATCTAGTTTCAACACTCAGAAACCAAGAGTAACTTGGCCATGAATGAAAACATTGATTTCTGTGACTTTCCCAGCATAATCCAAAAGTTCTTTATTTTCAGGTGTATTTTCTGAACAAACATCCAGACTTTCTACATTAGAAATAATTATTCCTCGTCTGACAGGAAGAGAGAAACATCACCCATTTTATCACGAGGTTGGTTATTCTGTTTTTTTCTTCTGATGTTGCTGTTTTGCACAATGCTAGTGTTACACACATAGTGTATGGTGTATATAGATTATTTTTGTGATGGATCGTGCCCTGCACTATGTCTTCAGATTCTTTGTGTTTTCAACTAGTTCTGGGTAAATTTGTTCCCACAAAGGTCTGCAACTGCCCTTTAAGTTAGAGCCTTTCAAACTTCTAGTGCTTTTAACAGCCTTGTCAGATAAAAGGGAGAAGGAATATGAAGAATATTTCCATTTCCCCCAGGTCTGATTAGATCTTGAACTAATGTCCATGCTGTGTGTGTCCTTTTGCTCATTGTATCTGGTCTTTGGATAACCAAAGGATTTCAACCATGTAGCACCTAAGGGGCTGATCCTCGCTTAGTAGAAATGGTGCCACAGAGTTGCAAAGATGAATGAGTTAAAAGAGAATAATCTGAGCCTTTCTTCTTCAGTCTGAGGTCATCTACCTTTGTGCTAGATATCGAGTTCAATTACTGCAGTAACTGGTAATGAAATAGCATTAGTCATCTTCATGCAAAGCTATTAGGGAAGGAAGAATCTGTGAGTCATTTACATAAGGTGTCACGAAACACAATGTGGTAGTTGGGTAAAAGGTGCATTCATGTGCTGTGCCCTTCTGTCTTCTCAATGAAAATGTATAGATTAATAGAATTTAAACTTTCCATAGGGAAAAATATACAGTGTGCTGCTGAGACTGACATATAGAAGGCACAAGGGTTAGGAATCTGTGTTTTGGTAGATACTTCAAATGCACATAGTAGTTGGATGTCTCTTCTCAAAGCTTGGATAAAATAACCAAGTAGAAACTCTCCTAATCAAGTGATATCTTTTGTTCTGTTTTCAGGAGCATTCTGATGACAATGTTTCTTACTCAGTTAAAACCAGAAATGGAACATATCTCCTAAAACTGAAGAGAAACAAGTATGCAGTAGAGTGTTCTAAGGAATCACACCATCTTGGGAGTTAGCTGCATATAGACAAGTATTTTTATACTGAAAAAAATCCAGAAGAAACCATTTAAATGGGAGATTATGCTAATTACAATATGACTGTTAAATAGTGTCTCTGCTATGATCCAAGCTTGCAAATGCAAGGGAATAATATTTTTTCTGTCTGTGAAGAAATGTATTTCAATTAATTATTTATTAGCAGCACAAGATAGTACAATTCAGAAAATCCTTATGGAACATTAGAATTCATCTCAGTATTAGCTTCTTACTAGTGAAGGGAGGGTTGTTAGCCATGTTGTATGTAAGAAATGTGTCTGTTACTGTTGTTCCTCATTCCTGAGCTTGTAATAGCCCAGGCCCTGATGCAATGTAGTCTGCTCAGAGACTTTTCTACAGATACTTTAGTTAAAGGATTTCAAAATAACTTATTTTCCAAGTAATTCAGCTCATTTTCAGGTATTTTGTTTCACATCCATGGATTTTAATATCAATTAGCATGAGTGTGCTGCTAACTGTGTATTTCTTACTAGGGTTCTTGATTTACTTCTTGCTTTCTAGAAGTAAATCTTCTCTGTTAAAAAGAGCAGTAGCTTATTTTTGTTTCCAGAAAGCTTGTTAGCGAAGACTTTATGCTCTACACATACGGGGAAAATGGGAAACTGGAGGCCACACAATCAAAAAATGAGGTATTGTATTAATAACATTCCCCTTTTGTGTCAGAGTTTCTTCAAAATGGGGAAGCCAAGCTTTATGAATTGAAGGAGATATTACCAGTTTAATAGAACTGAGGGCAAGAAGGATGTGTGTGCATCTAAATGTATTGGCAAAGCAAAAGCGAATGCACAACCATTAATTCTGAGTGCCTTCGTATCTCTATAACAGCACAGTGAAAATAGGTTACATTTTTATCAATGAAAGGGAAATAAAAGTGATGCACATAAAAGCATCTACAAAAGGAAAATACATTTGTCTGGAAAGAGGTTTTTGTGAGTCTTCGCATTTGTAGCATTTCTGTTTAATGGTTACCATTGATACAAAACATGAGGTTTGGTGTTTTATGAGGGAGTGGGCTGTTTATGGTGATATACATCACTGTTTTCCAAGGTGTGAAAGGAGATGCCAGGAGATTGTGCCAAGACTGAATTTGAGCTGCCTGATAAGGTCGCCTTTGCATAAGTATGCTATTAAAGATACAACAGCAGCATCAAAGCTTTGTAGTTTTTTGGTGCCAAACAAGCCTTATAAATACTTCTGTATTTCATTTCAACTTTAAACTGTATGTGAACTCAGCAGGACTTCATGGGGTGCTTTGTGGACGGGAGATCTCATATCAGCCTTTGAGAACAGTCTGTTAAAGAACAGGGTGAGCAATGTAGGTGAAAAGATTCTGCTAAAAGATGGTGATGGTTAAACTAAAAAGCTGGTTGTGAGAAGCAAGGGACCTGTTGCAGGTACTCATGTCAAGTCATATTTTACTCCGAGAAGGCTGGGATTACTTCTAGAACAATGAACTCTCTAAATCCGTAACAGCCAGACTTAATGTCATGCAAATACAAAGGTTAGTTAGAAAATGACTTTGCATTTGAAGGCAACAACTTTATTTTGTCATTAATCACATGGTTTTGTTGCATTTCAGACACACTGTTATTACCATGGCACTGTTGAAGGAATTGCTGACTCGGTGCTTGCTCTTAGCACATGCGATGGCCTTAGGTATTAACTTTTGCTTGTTACTTCAGGGTAATTCATTGTGCAGTACCAATGTAAAACAGTAAAATTCATCATACAGCTGAAAAACACCATCCTATCTTGCAAATCTTTTAAAATACTTTCAATATTTCACCTTTTGATGAAGCTGAAGCTCTTTACAGGTTTTATAGTTTCCCTCAGCTACACCTTTTTTCCCTTTTCCCAAAATTCCTTCACAGAGAAAGGATAAAGTGAGAGAGCATAATCTAAACATAAGCAAAACACAGGCATGAGCTGAAGCCTCTATTACGTGATGCAAATGTCTTGACGAGAGACACCTTTGTAGAAGAAAAACAATCTGATGGAGCTTTCACTGAACTTAAGACACTCGATCATACCATAGAATCCCAGGTTGGAAGGGATGTTAGGAATCATCTGGTCCAACATTTCTTGGCATGAGCATGACCTAGACTAGATGTCCCAGCACCCTGTCCAGCTGAATCTTAAGTGTCCAATGTTGGTGAATCCACCACTTCCCTGGGGAGATTATTCCAATGGCTGGTTGTTCTCATGGTGAAGAACTTTGCTCTCTTGTCCAGTCAGAAGCTCCCCCGGAGTAACTTGTGCCCATCACCTCTTGTCTTTTCCATGTGACTTCTTGTAACAAAGGAGTCTCCATCTTTTTTGTAGCCACCCTTTACATACTGGAACATGGTGACAAGGTCTCCCCTGAGGCCTCTTTTCTGGAGGCTGAACAAACCCAGCTCTCTCAGCCTTTCCTCAGTTTGTGTTTCAAAACCAATAAAATTACATTAATTGGAGAAACATACAGGGACCAGATTAATGCATAAAGGGCAATCGTTTCTCCCTGCAGAATCAGTCCACGAGTTGATAAAATGAGATGGCACACACACCACATGGTGCAGATACTCAGAATGTGCTTAGAGTGTGTCCATGCTCCCTGGTGTTCACTGAGCTGGGCTTTTTAGCTGGACTTTGGATATACCTGTTGCATGTAGTAGCCTTGTTCAGTTTGATATCTTTTTGACAAGGAGAAAGAGGAAAACAGGATAAAGATCACCCACATATCTTTCATTGATAATATCACAGTGAGATGCCACTCACAACAAATAATGACACTTCTGGCATTCCTTTAACTGAAGAATAAAATGGCCAACATACTGGTGTTTCAGGTAATGCCGGATCTAAGTAAGCAGAACAGATACTCCATTTTGACTGTTCTGCAAAACTTAATCAGACTCAAATCCTTTGACTACTTCGTACTCACATTTTTGAAGATCTTCTTTCACAAGATATTAACTAGAGAATTCTTGTTCTAAATATAGTTTGAGATTGTGGAAAGCAAGATAATAGGCTCTAAAAGAACAGCAAATGGGCACAGACCGGGTGTTTATGAGCCATGGACAAATGCACTCAGCAGTGCAATACTGCTGTTGCCCTCACAAACACCCTGGTGATTGCTTTTAGCCTCTCTCTGTGTCTTAGAAAATATCTTTTTCTAAAATACTAGGTTACTTTAGCTGCATGGGGCTAGGAGTGAGACTAGAGATAAGGACTAAAAGAGACCCTTTCAGTCGTTTGAACTTACACCCTATATTAAGATAATGTAAGATAATAATTCATTTCAACCAAGTGGTATGAACAGTTCTAGTTTCTAAGTATCCAGCTGTCATTCAATCATCTAGTCATAACCACGAGGGAACACCTGTGGAATAATTATTCATTCTTTTATCATTATTAGAGGAATTCTCTACATTGGTGGTAAATGGTATGGAATGGAGCCACTCAACGCATCCAGCACTTTTGAGCATGTGTTTTACCAGTCAGAAGATATGCAGGATATCCCCTTCCGGTGTGGTGTGCTGAACAGCAGCCTTCATCACGAGGAGTCGTTTGTGAAGCAGGCTGTGAAATACACCTTTGTTTCAAACAGTACCTCTAGCAGGGAGAAGCTTTTGAGGGTAAATACATTTCTGTTTCTCTCTTGAGAGCTTCAGTCCAAGCCACCTCCTCAGTCCATCCCAGCAGCCAAGGGTCTCCAGAGCTCTTGCTTGGGCATGGTGTCACAGCAGGTGGGTTTTGCCTTCATGTTCATGGCCCTCAAACTGGTGGGAGTATCACTAAGGACATCCTGAAACAGAAGAACAGCACAATTTAACACAGCTTGAAGCAATCCTTTAGCAGAAGAGCAGAGGTCTGCCCAAGGCAGTCATGGGTATGACATGAAAGGCATGAAGCTGCCACCCAGCTCATGCATCCCAGTGTCTGACCAGATGTGAATTACTGATATACAGGTATTAGTGTGGAAAAACAGAGCAAATTGACCTTTGAGACCATGTTAAAAAATGCATCACTGCTTTATAAGCACCTGAAAAGAAAATCATGAGAAAGATAAGTAAAGAACCTTGAACTTGTTAATTCTTATATTAACTTCCTGTGCTTTCTAATTTGCAGATGAAGCGAGCTGTCCTGCCACAGAAAAGCTATGTGGAATTATTTGTGGTTGTGGATAACAACAGGGTAATGCTATCATCCAATGCTAAATACATTTTAATACTCTATTAATTTCTTTCTTTGACATTCTTACATGGTATTTTACAGTTTTTGATGAAGAAATCTGACGCTGCTGCAGTGCAAAAGGAAACAGTTGAGCTGATTAACTATGTTGATGGGGTAGGTCAGATACATTGCCTAGATTCAGTAGTTTCTACTACTGATCTGTTCCCAGTTTCTCCTTAAGACAGCTAAGAAAATGAATGAACATCATCTTTCCAACTTCTCCAAATGAGAGGTATGTTAGGTACCTTCATGAAGTAGACTGACTTCAGTCATATGTTATTTAGTTTTATATTATAAACACATATATTTAGTTTATATTTCATAAATATATTTTATAGAATCATGGAACAGTTAGGGTTGGAAAGGACCTTAAGATCATCTAGTTCCAACCCCCCTGCCATGGGCAGGGACACCTCACACTAAACCATGGCACCCACGGCTCTGTCCAAACTGGCCTTGAACACTGCCAAGGATGGTGCATTCACAACCTCCCTGGGCAACCCATTCCAGTGCCTCACCACCCTTACAGTAAAGAACTTCTTCCTTAGATCCAATCTAAACTTCCCCTGTTTAAGTTTTAACCTATTACCCCTTCAGTCCCTAATGAAGAGTCCCTCCCCAGCATCCCTATACCCCCCGTTCAGATACTGGAAGGCTGCTATGAGGTCTCCACGCAGCCTTCTCTTCTCCAGGCTGAACAGCCCCAACTTTCTCAGCCTGTCTTCATACAGGAGGTGCTCCAGTCCCCTGAGCATCCTCATGGCCTCCTCTGGACTTGTTCCAACAGTTCCATGTCCTTTTATGTTGAGGACACCAGAACTGCACACAATACTCCAAGTGAGGTCTCATAAGAGCAGAGTAGAGGGGCAAGATCACCTCCTTCGACCTGCTGGTCACGCTCCTTTTGATGCAGCCCAGGATACAGTTGGTTTTCTGGGCTGCGAGCGCATACTGAAGCCGGCTCATGTTCATTTTCTCATCGACCAACACCCTCAAGTCCTTCTCCTTGGGCTGCTCTGAATCTCTTCTTTGCCCAACCTGTAGCTGTTTTAATTTATAAATACTAATATTTTATATTTAATTTCAAAGAAAGTTATGTCTCATCACTGTGTTGAACTTACTGTTTACTCAGTAGCAGTGATGTAATGTCATAACTCATTTGAAACAGACTGATGTATAGCAATTATCACTGTGTTTTTTCCAGATGTATGCAGCATTAAACATCCAGATTGTTCTGGTTGGATTAGAGATCTGGACAGACACAAACCACATATCTGTGATGGAAGGGTCAGCTGGAGATGTGCTCAGCAGATTTGTCTCTTGGAGACAGAAAGATCTTCTTAAACGATCAAGAAATGATGTTGGCCACCTCATCATGTAAGTTTTCATGCAGTGGAAGAACTACCCACACTGCCAGTGTTGCTGATGTGTATGGTTTAGGGGTTGTGTATGAATGAAAATACAACTGGAGTAAAATTCATTCAGCTTTCAACATTTATAGACAAGAAACTATAATGAATTATTTATAGATAATCAATTTGAGGTGGCTGTACTTAAGCAGGGGGGGAGTTGGACCAAATGACCTCCAGAGGCCCCTTCCAACCTCAACCATTCTGTGGTTCTGTGAACTCAGAAACACTGTCACAGCAGGCTTGGGTGACTTATCATTGTTTTCAAGCTAATTTATTCAGGTATTCATTGTTAATTATAGTGAAACCCTGATATGGTGATGTATTTCTTCTTGACTTCAAGACCAAAATTTGCCTTGCAATTTTTGTTTCAAACTCATCACTGTCTTTTAGTAGAACTTTTAAACATTCAGCCCCTCTTTCAACACCACCTTTAAACTGCTTTTGTTGCAGAGGGAGAAGCTCTTACAGTGGATCCATTGGAATGGCTTTTGTGGGTACCGTCTGCTCACAAGTCCAGGGAGGGTCAATCAGCACTGTAAGTACACAATGTTGTGGTTAATGGAAGAAACTAGCACTGGAGCTGCTAAACCATCACAGATATCCTGCTAGTGGGACACCTGAAGGCTTTCCCCTGTGCATTTACAATACACATGGTTGTAGGTACTGCTATTGGCAGACGTTGTCTCCATAGAAGTACAGCCTAATAAGTAACATGCCCTTTGCTGATCTATTTGATCAAGTCACCCCAGTCTCAGAGACGAGGCTTGGAGTTGTACAGTTCCTTTCATGGGGTTTCTTATGTAAAGACTTGTGCATATTTAAAACTTTTGGCGTATTTCCCAATTTCCCTCATCTCCCTTCATCACATTCCAGTCCATTTGGCTGATTTAGTCCTGAAATAACTTTTTGATCACCTTTTGTAATTCATCTAACTCAAGGTTGCATAAGAAAAAGCCATCCTCATACCATTAAAGTTCATAACCACAGTGTTCTGGGGATGCAGCTACAAAACTGTGTATTTTTCTACTCTTTACATGGATAGAAAGTGAACATAACACACTATATTCTCAAGTGTCAGGATTTCCCCACAGTAAGGCTGTAAATAGGCAAAAATTTTAAAGATGACAAAATTAGTAAGAACGTATTTTTTCCTCCATCACTCTTGCGGCAGAATTGTATCTCCAGAGCTCCCTGTCCTTACAGTATGAACGCCACAATGCCATGGACAATCTCAGAAGCAGATTCTGTTCTTTAACAGAACAGCTGTTCTTTAACAGTACATTTGTCATTGAAGACTCCATTGAAATCAGTGTCATGAGCAATTAACTGTGTTAGAATAGAACAGAATAGAATTATTTCAGTTGGAAACAACTTACAATGATTGCAGAATCACAGAATCCCAGACTGGTTTGTGTTGGATGGGATCTTAAAGCTCACCCAGTTCCAACCCCCTGCCACAGGCAGGGACACCTTCCACTAGAGCAGCTTGCTCCAAGCCCTGTCCAAGCTGGCCTTGAACACTGCCACACACAGGGCATGATCCTCTGGTCCAGCTGCCAACTGTTAATATTCAGAACATGATCCTAATGGAAGGAATACAAAGAGTGGCAGAATTTGGCCCTACCTGAAAATAAAGTGGTAAATTGTTAGTTCTTGCTGCTTCTGCTCTGCAAAACAATTCCGTATTCTGTCTTCACAGCCTCTGAGAGCTCTGGGGCTTGAATAAATCAATAATAACACAGTATTTTCTTTAGTGTCACATTTTTTTTAACACTGATTCTCTCTATTAGTTGAATCATGACAATGTGTTGCGTCATGCTACAGTAGTTGCTCATGAACTGGGACATAATCTTGGAATGAAACATGATGACACAAGGTGTCCTGCATCCTATATTATGCACAGCACAGATAAGTAAGATTTCCAGTTGTTTTATTTCAATAATTGTAATTTATCTGCAGTGACTATGCCTTAGAAGCTGTGAATCTCCCATGGATATTGAAGAACTTTTGTGAATGGGGATTTTGAAAGGTTTAATCACAGAGGTGAATTCACTGAGTTAGGACTTAACCATTTTAACTTTTTGAAACTTTGTATTTTTTTTTTTTTCCAATCCAGTATTTTTTTATTTGTAGCATTCCTAAAAACTGGATTTTCTTTATTATTTATTTTAATGATAGTGTGTTGCTGGTTTTTTTACCCTGCTGAGAACTGAGAAACCTTTATGTATATTCACTGGATTCATGCAAATGTGTATCCTTCACACACATTCTTAACAGTTAATTTAAACCAAACCTCTCAGCTGATGCTTCTTTCAGTTCACTTGTTCTTTGGCTTCCCCTTATGAGAAAAAGATCGTATTATTTTATCTATCATCTTAATTTGTATTAATAAATCAGTAACTGAACACTGGACAAAACTACTACAATAAGATGTATTCATGAGTTCTTAGGGACTCAAAGTAAGGTGGATGCCTTTCTGGAAAGTATTTTTGAATCAAGCATATTCAGACTCATTACACAAAAGGGATTTCTAAGGCCTGTTTTATATAGGGTGCCAGAGTGGATAATCTGATGATCTCTTTGACTTCTGAAAGTACTTCATTTGTGTTATAAATATTATTTTAAACTTTTAGTACTATACTGTATTGCAAAATAGTCAAAATAAACTATCTTGTGCTCTCCCAGCATTATAAAACACGCTATTTATTATAGATGAACAATATTTTAAGGGCTTGAGTTGTATTATTCCCTGTAAGCAAAATGCTTATAATAAAAAAGTAATATTATGCTTTCCAGTGGATCCAGGAATTTCAGCACCTGCAGTGCTGATGATTTTGAGAACCTTATTCTCAGTGGAGGAGGAAACTGCCTTAGAAATCCTCCCAAAACAAGTAATGTTTACAAGGAACCTGTCTGTGGCAATAACGTGGTCGATAGTAATGAAGAATGTGACTGTGGCAAACCAGAGGTAATGAATTAAATTCAATTGGATACTTGCTGTATATTGTGTTATGATATTTGTTGCTATATTTATTGTATAATGCTGGCCTTTCAGTATTTTCATTAATATCTGAGGAGTTTTCCTTGTAATGTTACATCTTGGCAAGCAATATGAAGATAAATGTTAGTAAAAGCCTAAAATCACTGCTAGTGTAGTGGAAAAATAAGACAAGAGAAGGAATGATAAGGAGTAACCCCCATGTGTTCTGCTTCTTTTAGTGTCCATTTAAAGTGTAAACACATCCTATGCCCCTGTGCCACAACACATCAAAACACAGATGTTTTTCTGATGACTTGTAGTAAGAAAATACAGCCAAACTGTGCTGGTTCCTGTTAGAGCAGAAAGCTGTCAAGCTCAGAACACACAAAAGAGACAGTGTGTTTAAAGTCTGGTTTGTCCATGCACTTGGTTTGATCATGTCGTTTCCTAGCTGTAGAGCAAAGTAAAAACGTTGTGTCCCCTTGTCCATGGTTGTTCTTCAGGAATGTACTAACCCTTGCTGTGATGCTGCAACCTGCAAACTCACGCCTGGATCGCAATGCGCTCTAGGACTGTGCTGCAAGAACTGCAAGGTAGACTGTTGTATTAAGCTAAATTAATACTATTTACTAGTGTTTTTTAATGTTCGAAAAGAGCTATCATAGCACTCAGTATACTTTCCCATTATCAAGCTATATTCACCAGTAGGAAGCATGTAAGCAGTGACTTTGTGTCCAACAACTCTCAGGCACTAGCTTAGAAATGGAATATCATCTCTGTGTCACCCCTTGTAGGAGGCAGGAGCAACCAGGTGACTCAGTAGTAGTGATCTCCATTATGCAGCACCAAGGCTCTCCCAAATCTGTGACAGCTGGCTGCTTTTAAATTGATACTTGTGTACATATTTGTATGATCTACCCAAGTCCTGTGTAGGCTCAGCTCATAAACTGTAGCTACAACATATGAAACTGAGGGAAGTTCTGGATATTCGTTAGATAACTGATCCCCAAAACTGCTTTGTCTTCCTTAAAATCCCCAAAGGCTCCCAGTTGTCATTGTTTTGTGTCAGCACTTCTGCTGTTGCAAAATAAAAGTAGGGTGGCATTCCTCTCTGCTTCCAGTTTAAAGTGGCAGGAACAGAGTGCAGATCAAAAATGGACTTCTGTGACCTACCCGAGTACTGCAATGGAAGCGATGCCTACTGCCCAGAGGATGTTTATATCATGAATGGTTACCCATGCAGCAACATGAAGGCTTATTGCTACTATGGAGTATGCCAGAGTTTTGATTCACAATGTGAATCTATATACGGAAAAGGTATGTTGATAATTTAATGTGAAAAGACTTGCAGTCTCCTAATAGATATTCCTAATATCTCTTTTTGTTTCTCCTATTTTTAAGACTAGTAGCTTACTAAGATTCACTGCTTTTTGTACAGGGGCACGAAAAGCACCTGATGCATGCTTTGAAAGAGCAAATATTAAAGGAGACAGGTTTGGAAACTGTGGAATGAAAGGTGGAGTGTACAAGAAATGTCCTGTTCAGTAAGTCACCAACAAATAAAAGCTAACTCTAAAATCTACAATGGAAAAAACATATATTCTGTTACAAACTCCTAAAGCATAAGATTTAAAAGAGGATTTCCTTGAAATGCAAGCTAAAAGGTTTGACTGGATGGTGTATTTGCACTGAAACTGTGAGGTTTTTTCCCTGTTCACCTTGTTTCTGAGTGTCTTTCATTCAATACAGGCATAGTCTGTGTGGCAAGCTCCAGTGCACATCTGTTAGTCTTCAAAACCTTCCTGCCTGGAGCGTTGTCAATAACGCATCTGGGGTTTTATGCTGGTCTTCTGACTTTGACTTAGGATCAGATGTCCCTGATCCTGCTCAAGTTCATGATGGAACAGCCTGTGGAGAAAAGAAGGTAGGATGAATCACAGCAGCATTAAAGAATGTATTTCACCAACTGGGAAGTTCAGAACTTTCAGAATCATTACACAGCTCTCTTATTTGTATGCCATAAGGAAAAAAATCTCCTTTTTGAGATACACACACACAATTAGCTCGTCAAAAACTGGGATGCTACAAACCAAGGAGCTATATTATCAGTTTTCCAAATTACTCATCAAAATGCATCCACAGACTTCTCTGCAACAAATCCAACTATAAAATTGTGAAGTACTGAATGTTCTACCAGCCCTTTTTCTGGACATCTAAGTAAAAGTTGCAGAATTCTAAGCACATACATTTACCTATTTCTAAAAGGACAGGATTTTTTGAAGTTTGGAGTTTGAAAGACACCAATTACTTTTTCCAGGCCTGTTTGGATTTTGAATGTGTTGATGCAAGTAATCTGGGCTATAGCTGTGATGTAAAGCAGAAGTGTAACGACAATGGGGTGAGTAGATGGTGTCTTCATGCCCTGTTTCTAGAAGACAAAGAGAGGTGCAAAATCCCTGCATAAAAGCAATAACCAGACAGATGGCTTTGGGGTTTTCTCACCTGTATTAAAAGTTAAGTCCACCTTTTTATCTGTAATTCATGTGTCAGTACACTGTAAACTGCTTAGCACTGACATTGAAAGGCATTTTTTCTGAATATCCCTAGGGAATTTTCTATTACTAGTGAGCTGTGGAATTATAAAAGGAAAATATTCCTTTGACAAGGACAAGTGATTCCTCACTTACAAATGTTTCCATGAAAGATCAAAATGGAGTCCAAAGGTTTTAAATCTGAGTTCTCTGGACTATAATCTATTGCAGGCAAATAAAACCCCAAAGTTTAATGTCTATAGAGAATTAACTTGCAGTATCAGTATCACTCAGTGTTTTGGGATGGAGGGGGAGAGCTTATTCCTGGTTATTACTTTGTGTATTTCTATACAATATTATGCCATATTTCTTGTTTCCACATGCACTCTTCCATGTGGAACTCCAAATATACACTGGAGATTGAGAGCAGCCACTTCCAAAAGGCATTTGCTTGACTAATCCCTGTTGTATCGACCGTAGGTGTGTAACAACAACGGGAACTGCCACTGCAACTCTGGATGGGCTCCTCCATTCTGTAACCGGTCAGGCTATGGGGGCAGCATTGACAGTGGTCCAGCTCACATAGGTAAGATTGTGAAACTGGCCTTCATTCTGCTCCCCATGGCTGATGATCTACTAATAACAGGGGGCTTCAGTCACTTTTCGACTGTTTTTTTCTACTACATGGAACACTTAATCATGGACTAAGTTGAAGAGCAGATGTTATTACCAGAGCTGTATGTCTGCAGACATCAAGGGAGGTGGTCCAAGGGAGAATCTGAGCTGTTTTGTCTGAGCTAAAAAGCAATACGTTAGTTGCTCAGGATTACTGTTACATTGTTAAGTTGTTAAATATTTAGATATTTACTTAGGTATTTAAAACAGTTCTGATACAATGGATTTAACAGAGGAAGACTATAGCTTGAGCAATAGAAATGGTAAATGCTCCTCCGTGGCAGTGTCCCAAGGCCACGTCGGACAGAGCCTTGGGCAACATGGTCTGGTGTGAGGCATCCCTACCCATAGCAAGGAGCTGGACCTAGATGATCTTAAGGTCCCTTCCAACCCAAATCAGCCTATGATTTATGAAAACATCAGCCTTTATATGTGGAAAGGGTCTCACAGAAATGAGAGGGGTTAAGGAGGTACATGCAGCGAACAGCAGTTGTAAGCAGCTTGTGTAAGAGCCTTTACACTGAGACCACACAAAATGTTTTCCCTCTCTCTGTTTACAAGCTAAGTTCATCATCATCTGTAGCTTTGTGAGGCAAAGAACATTAATATTTTATCAAGCTTTTCTAAATTCATTATTTTAGGAAAGGGAAAAAATGTTTTCTATTTATTAGAGGCTTAGGAAGGCCGAGAAGAGGTGCAGATCAGTTGCTGGTAAGGAAATACAAAATGAGTTTGTTTGCTTTAGAATTCCTGACAAAATATATGGAAAAGAAAAAGGTTTGTGTATTCAAACAATATGGGGTGGGTAAGGCAGAAAGGACTTGTAATAACATAAGGCCAAATCCTATGTTTCTGACCATAGAATCTATACATTTCAGTGAAGTTACTAGTTTTTATCTATGATAATTTGAAGACTGTAGTTTTTACAACAGAAAGGTGGTTTTTAGCAGAAAAAAATTCTCAATATGAGGTTAAATAAGATTACTACCTTACATTATTCCAATTCTTTTTCTCTAGATACATCACTTCGGGATGGTCTCCTTATTTTTTTCCTCCTTGTGCTGCCACTTGTAACTGTCGCTGTAGTAGCAGTCATTAAACGTGACGCAATAAGGAGGAAGTTTTGCAGGAAAAGCCGAAGACAACACAGGTATTTCACTTACTACAAATGCCTATTTCAACACCTGGGAGCATGCTCCAGATTCATTTAGCAAGCTGGGTAGATGCTTGATCTATACAAAGAATTCCAGCCCACCAAAAAGAAAACATCATCCCAGCTAACAGTACGTTGCATAGGAGCCAGTCCTCTGCTACTAGGTAGTTTAATCCAGATACTCCAGTTGTCAGTTCTCAATCATTTTTCTCCCAGATACAGTGCACTTCCCTAGTTATTACTGATAGTTGTATTATATGGACAGAGGGGCACACACATGGAAGTCACCTGTCAAAGCTGGAAAGGGCTGGAGTCGGACATGGAATCCTGATCTCACCACTACAGCCTCATCCCTGAAGGTGGTTAAACCACACGGGGATTTTCCTGATGACATGTTTTTTATTTCAGGGATAACAATGTGGAACAACCAAAGCAAAATAACACACCAAGTCATAACACAAGAAGTAATCAGGTAAGATAGATGCATGCCTGCATTATTTCATGTTTAGTAATCCAAATTATACCATGCCTGTTCTCTAATATAGTTACTGGTGACTTTGTGTCCTTCCGATACACTGAAACCAAGTATTTAAAATCACTTATAAATCATTAGATAAGATTTCAGCTTGGGTAAGCATAAGCTTTATTGTCTGTCTTGTCAATACAGGCTGTGAGTAGTATGGGATGGAACGGGTTGCTACTTAGCAGAGCAGCCAAAGACTGAACTTTGAATTCTGCAGCCACATACTAGAGAAGCTGCTCAGCCAGGCTGTGGATCCAATGCTGATAAAGCAAAATAAAAAGTATCAGACCAAAATGTTGCAAGAGAATATGAAGAATATTACAGAAAATGAAAAACAGTTCTAAAATACCATTAGCTTAATATTCAATATTAGCTACAGTTCAAAATCTGTTTTCTATTAACCTGATTTTCTGCAATATCTTTTCCAGCCTGCCACATCAACTCCTGATTTCTTTACTGTACCACATTTTCCTGTTTCAAGGTTTGTAGTGTTTAAAACCAAGCAAATAGGGATAGTATAAGGGGTAAACTGGCAGAGGGGAGATTTATATTAGATTTTAGAAAAGAATCCTGATGGCTGCCCCATCCCTGGCAGTGTTCAAAGCCAGGTTGGATGGGGCTTGGAGCAAGCTGCTCTAGTGGAAGGTGTCCCTGCCCGCGGCAGGGGGTTGGAACTGGATGAGCGTTAAGGTCCCTTCCAACACAAACCAGTCTGGGGTTTTTAACTTCATGTTTGCTGTGTTTACATTGCTGTATCCTTGTGAAGTTCCTAATGTCTCATATCCTGTTTAGGAGAATTTTCCATGCAGCCTCATATCAGATATAGTAGACTAAATGCTTGTATGGAAAACAGCACAATGGCAACGTAAATGCTACTAGGGAGAGGGGCAGGCAGAGAGATAAAGATATCTATAAATCCTAGCAACTGTTTAAAGATGCTAAAGAAGCAGTTGTCTCAAGTCATGAACTACTTCACAAAATGTGGTTTTGACTTCAGGCAGCCAGTGCAAACCCAGTTTCCAGCAGCTCCTTCAGGACCTCAGCGACCTGCAGTCCCACCTAGACCAGCTGCCTGAAAAGCTCCTTGGGAACCCTCATCCAGTTCTGACAAGGAATTACAGCTGTCCTCCATTCCTCTCCTTGTGCAGCCAAAATGCTTCCTGAAAGCACATACCTCTGGAAAAGACTTGATGCTACCAGGCACTGAACATAGATTTTGTCACATCCATTATTCTCCTAGTCACTGCTGGCTGCATTTGTACCTCTTCTACCTCACTTCCTATTTTTGTTTTAAATCAGAAATCTGAAGTTCAGCTCCTGTTAGATGAAATCTGGAAGAGCATCACAGAACAGGACTCTTCTAAGCACAGCCTTAATTGCCAGGCAAACAGGAGTGAATTCAGTTATTTAGGCATCATTTACACACCTCTAGTCATACACTGCTGTGAAAATTAGAACACAGACGGACCCCATGGGAAGTCTGCAGCCTGTCTACCTCCTGGGTCATCCTCTTGGCTGTACATTGCCAGCGATGCAGCCATTCCCTGTTCTCCACAGGCGAAGCTTTTCCTGTGTGTTGCTCCAAGCTTCAGCTTCCATGCAGTACTATCAGAGCTGGGATCTGTATACCACCTCTCACTACCTGTCACCTGCATACCTTCCACTTCAGTTAGTTGAGCAAGCTGCTCTAGTGGAAGGTGTCCCTGCCTGTGGCAGGGGGTTGGAACTATATGAGCTTTAAGATCCCTTCCAACCCAACTATAAAAGTAACATCACATTGGCCACCAGCAATGGAAAAAACCTCTGTAGATAATGGATCTGAGTCTTGAAGGAATAAGCCATTCCTGTTGTAACAGAAAATGTGGTGTACCAGGGATAACATTATAAACTCAATAGTGGTTTAATGTCTGCTGGTTATCATGGTATGAGATTTGTTCTAGGATCTGACTCCACTACAGAAGCAACAGGTAACTTTCATCACTCTAAAGGGGACAATTGGGAAGTGGTACTTATTCGATATGAACATACACAGGTTGTCAAAATGACAGCTCATGGAAAAGCAGCTGCTCCAAGGAGAAAAAAAATCGCTGGCCAGGAGGAAGCTGTGGATGCCGGTCAGTGTGTACATCAGAGAGCAAACCACACTGACTGCGCTCACCTGTGAGCCCTGGGAATAGGAACCAGCAAAAAGAAGGAATAAATTCCAGGATCACCTCACCAAGGTGGTATTTCCAGCTCCCTTAATGGCCATTTCACTGAAGAACTGGATGGAACAACCCAAAATATGCTGCAGGCACCAACAGCACTGGCAAAGAGGGTCTTCCGAAGAAGTGTCCTTAGCATCTGCAATTGCTATTATTAAACATTATTATCATTTATACCTTCTAACAAGCATATAACGTTATTATGACTTAAATGATCACGCTCAGAACACCCAATGGTATCTTATGATAACAAAAGCCACCGCTGGGTATAGCCGGGACCGCTCATTATCCTCACGCCTCCGGGGTCACTAAACCCTATTATTCAGTTTATTATCAAATTAAAGGTGACTAAAACCGATTCCTCCCGCTCGGGCCCACGCCGACCCCTTCGCCCCGCCCGCCCCGCGCATGCGCGCAGCAGACCCGGGCAGCGGGAGCCGGCGGCTGTGGCGGCGCTGGAGGCGGCAGCGGAGGATGACGATGAGCGGGGCGGCGGCGGCGGCGGCCGGGTGGGCCTGTGCGTGCTCTGCGGGCTGCCGGCGGCCGGTAAATCCAGCCTGGCCCGCGGCCTGCGCCGCCGCCTGCTGCAGCGCCAGGGCTGGGCCTGCGCGCTCCTCACCTACGACGAGCTGATCCCACCGGAGGCCTTCCGCCCACGGGAGCCAGGGGCGGAACCAAACCCCTCGGTCAGTGCCGTGCGCTGCTCTCATTGGCCAGCCGGGAACAGCGTGGCACGGCCATTGGCCAGCTCGAGAGCGTCACTGCCCGCGCGGCGGCCGTTGCCAGGCAACGCGGCGCTTCCTTCATGGCGGGCGGGAGCTCTGTGGTGGTGGCTGTGGTAATGGCGATGATGTGGGGCCGGGGCGAGCTTTCACCCCTGTGCTGCTCCCTCCACAGCTGCCCGACTGGAAGCAGAGCCGGCGGGCGCTGCTGCAGTGCTTGGAGTGCCTCCTGCGGGCGCTGCTCACCGGGGACCCGCTGGCAGCCCCCAGCCCCTCCAGCCAGCCCACCTGGGAGCGCTTCATGGCCTGCTGCCAGCGGCAAGGGCTGCTCCGCTCTATGGAGGGCGGAGGTGGCCGTTACTGCGCGCACACAGCCGAATCCGGGCCGCTCTACATCATCCTGGATGACAACTTCTATTACCAGAGCATGAGATACGAGGTGTTCCAGCTGGCTCGCAAATGTAACTGCTGTTTGTGCCTATGTGTGAGAACGTGTTGTGTAGGAAACTCGATGTGCTTTCAGTGCCTTTCTTTAAGTGCTCTAGCAGAACATGAGTTACTCTTTATTGCTAGATTCCTGCAGTATAGCAAGCAACAGCTTTATTACAGCGTTGTTAGGAATTACTGCATCACTTAAAGCCTTTCGTACGTTGATCTCTAGATGAGCAGCCTTGAAGATAAAATTGTTTTATATCAGCCTCCCAGTACCTAAAAGGGCCAGCAAGAAAGCCAGGGGAGGACTTTGGACAAGGGCCTGTAGGGACAGGACAAGGGGAATGGCTTTAACCTGCCAGAGGGGAGTCTGAGATGAGCTCTTAGGCAGAAGCTCTTCCCTGGGAGGGTGCTGAGGCCCTGGCACAGGGTGCCCAGAGAAGCTGCGGCTGCCCCATCCCTGGCAGTGTTCAAGGCCAAGTTGGACACAGGGGCTTGGAGCAAGTTGCTCTAGTGGAAGGTGTCCCTGCCCGTGGCAGGGGTTGGAACTGGATGAGCTTTAAGGTCCCTTCCAACACAAACCACGCTAGGATTCTGTGATTCTGTTATTTTCAGGCTCAGAACTAGTTGTAGAAGTTCCTCATTCATGTAAAGCCTTTCCTGTGCGTGTTGCTTTTGGAAATCTTTACTTGAACAGTTTAAAGGTAAAATTGTCTATTGATGTTCTTTTAGATTCCTTGAGCTACTGCCAGATATTTTTAGAGTCTTCACTTGAATGCTGCTTGCAGAGAAATCAGCTGAGGAGTCATCCCTTACCTGACCAGACAATACATTTAATGGCAAGCAAAATAGAAATGCCAGATCTGAAGAAAAATGCTTGGGAACAGAACAGCCTCATCCTGCAAAGTTCTGACTGCACTTCAGAGAAGTATGCTCAGTGCAGGGATCCTGCTTTCATAGATGTGTGGGCAGAAGCTTTCTACCGTATCTAAATGGTTTTATGGTGATTTTCCGAAGCCAATCAGTGATGCACAGTACCTGCCAATGGCTCTGACCTCACAGCCATCACTCTTTGTAGAGTTACCTCCAAAACAAACCACAGTTCTAAACTGAGGTTAAAAATATATGTAAATTGTCTGAAACATTCAGCCTGGAAATAATTGGCTGTAGGTTTAATTATAATTGGTTTTCATCTAACTTTCCTTGTAAAGATAATTTCATTGATTGCCTCATACATTTAAACTGAAAACTTGGGGGTTTCTTCCTGTGCTGAGGTGTCATTACAAAATGAAAGAAGAATCTTCAGTGAAACTTTGTTTAATGTGGTTCATCCTTGTTTTCTCAGTGAGCAGATCATCGCTTTGCTGGCTGCTGCCTTGGAAAATCCAGTGAAGCAAAATGAGGAAAACGCTGAGCAAAAGGTAGCGCTGCTTTACTCCGGTCATGGGTCTGCCAGGTGGTGGGGAATGAGTGAGTTATACCTGAATTGTATTCACAATAGAAACTAAGAAATAGCTCTTTGACAGGTTGAGAGAAATGGGCTGGTTCAGCCTGGAGAAGAGAAGGCTCCTTAAGGGAAGACTTTAGAGCAGCTCCAGTGCCTAAACGGGCTACAGAAAACCTGGAGAGGGGCTTTGGACAAGGGCCTGTAGGGACAGGACAAGGGGAATGGCTTTAACCTGCCAGAGGGGAGACTGAGATGAGCTCTTAGGAAGAAGTTCTAGCAGGGGGTTGGAACTGGATGGGCTTTATTGTCCCCTCCAACCCAAACCAGTCTAGGATTCTATTTCTTAAGTACAAAAGCATGCACAGAAAAGTTACTCCCATTTGAAGTGGGTACAGCTGTCACCCTTGCTAAGTTAAACCATTGAAATACCTTGAAGAAAACTGTTAAATGTTCTGTAGTAGCAAAGGGACTTTGGAGCTGTCACACCCTGACGAAAATAATTTTCACTTCTTATGATTCGGAGAAAACTCCAGGAACAAACTTGCCAACAGGGTTTCAAGTTGACAAGCAGGTATTCGCCGGGAGACACGGGGGATAGTTCCTCCTAACGTGTGTCTCCGATTTGCTATACAGGTCATCCTTATATGGTTACTGAGCATATTACATCATTTTCCAAAAGGTTTCCGGCATGCCTACAAAAGTGTGGTGGTCTTTAAGGGTCGTTTACTTTTCCCAGCAAGCTTAATTAACATTACAGACATAGCAGTCATCCTGGCCTTCTACTTATCTTTAACTGCTCTCATCCTGGACATCTGCTAGTCCCAGTTACTCCCCATCCCCAGGTCCTGTCCTTCTATTCTGCTTTTCTCACACCTTTTGTACTGAAGGCCTGAGGGCCTGAAACTATGTCAACTACCTCTAAGCACAGCAGTTATTTTCCATTACAAAGCTATCAAACTTAACATTACTTAGAACTGATTACATTTTGTACTTTTGTGCCTCCTTGTCTCACTTAACATCACACATACCCATCTGTGGTAGTCACCCTGATGCACACACCTGCCCCCAACTCACAGGAGTAGCCTGCACTGCACCAGCCACTGCTAATGCGTTACATGTTTTCCAAGAGAGCTTTAAAAGCTTATGAGTCTGAACCAAACATCATGTGTCTGCACGTGTCCCTCCTTCCTGTGTCACCCCGGCAGGAAGCCGATCGGGCCATCTGTGCAGCCAGTGCTGTCCATCAGGCTGACCAGACCTGCAGACGACTCGTCTCTCAGGCCATGAAGGAGGCCAGAGGTAAGTGCAGTCTGTTCTGGGGGATAGCTCATGAGGTGGGACTCAGCCGGTGACATTCCCTTGGGATAAACCCCAGCCCTGTAGGGGTGATGGAAGCAATCGCATTCAGTTGGCTGGACAGAGTTAGTGAAAGTCGGTAAACCTTCTCTTAAAGCATGAAGTTAAAAGTTTGGCTTTATTTTCTTTCAGATAAAAACATCCAGCCAAGTGAGCTGAAGAGCCTGGCAGAAGAACTCAACAAACTCAAAGCAGAGTTTTTGGAAGACATGAGGCAAGGAAATCATTTGAAAAGCCAGCTTTCTGTACAAAATCAATGTTCTGACCCTGATACATCTGTAATTTCTTTGTTCCAACTAGAGGCAGCCAATATAGTTAATAAATATATTTTAAAATAATGACATAAGGAATAGTGGCATATTTTAGGGGCCCAAAGTGTTTAAAATGCAGTACTGCCTCAGCATTGCAGCTGAAAACATCTGACACAGCTTCCTTCTCTAGAGCATTGTGCTATCTTTAACTCATCTGCCTGTTGGGAGAGCAACACAGCTGTTGTGACCCAAAAGGAGTCATTCAGGACCACCCTTCTTTTGGGACCTATGACCAAGTTCATGGTACCCTTGCGCTGAATTAAGGTGAAATGACACCAGCCAACCAGTTTCATTTCTTAATACAATTCACAAGGCATGTGGTTATATATAACTCAACAATGGTGACTTTAACTGAATCAGCAAGTCCCATTCCATGTGTTTTTGTTTAGATGTAGTCAATATTAAATGAAAGAGTAGAGGAGAAGCATACAGCAACATCTTGGTCCTCTTCACCAAGGGTATCTCACCCTCTGACCTGAGCCCTGCATTTTTGTGTTCACATTGAACATTTTGAGACCCCACTTGGAGCACTGTGTGGAGTTCTGGTGTGCTCTATATAAGAAGGCCATGAACCTGTTGGAGCAAGTCCAGAGGAGGCCACAGATATGCTGTGGAGCTCTGCTCTGGAGCCAGGCTGAGAGAGCTGGGCTGGGTCAGCCTGGAGAAGAGAAGGCTCCTGAAGGGGGGACCTTAGAGCAGCTCCAGGAAACCTGGAGAGGGGCTTTGGACAAGGGCCTGTAGGGACAGGCCAAGGGGAATGGCTTTAACCTGCCAGAGGGGAGACTGAGATGAGCTCTTAGGCAGAAGCTCTTCCCTGGGAGGGTGCTGAGGCACTGGCACAGGGTGCCCAGAGAAGCTGTGGCTGCCCCATCCCTGGCAGTGTTTAAGGCCAGGTTAGATAGAGCCTTGGGTGATATATCTAGTGTGGGGTATCCCTGCCCATGGCAGGAGGTTGGAACTGAATGAGCTTGAAGCTCCTTTCCAACCCAAACCATTTTGTGATTCTATGGGCATAATTAAGTGAGCTCATGAGCAGTTCCAAAGCTGAGGCTCCCCAAGGGTCCCTCTGTCGTCTTTATTCTGGTGTCTGCTCTCTGACTGCACCTAAGAGTCAGCTCATCCTTGAGTCATCCTTTCATATTCCTACGGAGGTTTATCAGCTTCGAACAAGGGGTCAGAACAACCCTACTTTCACGCTATGGAGAGCCAACATCCTTGTTATTTGCTTCATTTATGCTCAAAGCCTCCTGTGGTCAAATGCAAATGGTGCCTAAGACAAGCTTAGTCTCCTGTGTGTGATTTGCACTATGGAATGTAAGAGGTGTTTGAGAAAAGCTCAATGTCCAGGTTCTCACAAGGACTAAAAGAGCAGCCTGGTTTCAGCACCAAAATGAAACACCTTAAGCAAGGAACAGCGCATTTATGCTTCAGCCTGTTCATCTTTTGGGTCAGCTTATCCTCCTTACCACAGCTATTCATAAGCAGCTCACCAGTCCCACCTGCTGAAGCAGACACAAGAATTACCGTAAGATTTAATTAGAAAGTGTTATTTTATTCATATCTTAGAAAAGCAAAGCTTCACAACATGAACTACACCAGATATAGGCAAGTCATTTCCAAATTAACCTCGTCCTCTGAAAACATTCACTACACGAGAAAATTGATTTTACAGTTCTAACAGGTTCCATTTGTTGCAATACAAAATATGCTCGTTACACTGTAATAGGTTATGAACAGAGCTGGGACTCAGAAGCACATACACAAAGATTGCTTGATGAGAACGGCTCCAGCAGGGGATAGGTTTCCTGCAGAACAACATCCATTTGCTGTAGATTTTCAAAGAAGTTTCAAATGAACAGAAAACTTGCCAGTGAAGACTCCTACATTACATTCCTTTCATCAGAAAGAAACAAAGAGCAACATCCCCCCCAAACATTCTGCACTAAACCAAATGGTATCCACTCATTTGGCTGGGAAACACCATTGGAAGGAGTTTTCCAGCACTGAGTTTTATGTTAAAATGCCAAACAATGTCTTATGTCCAAATCCTCTTCCACTGAACGTCTATCTGTGAAAAAACAACTCCTGTCCCTACCAGCAGCATCACAGTTTTAATATTAACCCAGATAATCTACTGAGATGCTTCAGTCTAGTATGTGTGTGTTCATTGGAATACTGGGTCTCACTAAGTCTGTATTAGGCGTATGATAAATAGTGCACATTTAAAAGGTCAACAAATCTATTAAATGATCTATCACAATAAATACAAACCCCCTCAAAGTTCATGTTTTGCACGTACAGGATTTACCAGAGTCAAGCTGTGGAAAAAATTCAGCTCATTCCCAAACTTCCCTGTTAATACAAGCTAAAATGCCAATTGCCACTTTATAATGTAAAGATTTGGGGGTTTAAAACAAAATGAGTTTAGTGCAGAGAAGAACTCAGTATGAAAAGTCCCTCAACCACAGACTTGATCCCACAGTTCCTGACAATTATCCCTCACTGACTCCATATAAGGCCTTCTTGTGCACAGGAATCGTTGGGATCACAGTCTAAAACAATTTTCCAGTACTAATTCTGGTCTTTCAAGGAAACAGTATGTACAAAATGATGAGAAACTGATGTGACAATACACCTTCCAAAGCTACTCGGTGGGCAGAAGGCAGCAGACTCAGTCAGGATCCTGTTTGGCACCACGAACAGGCAGGGTGAGGTTGAAAAATGAAGAGCCCACATGCACAGGGTGGCCCTCCCTCTGTCTGTGAAGGCCATGGCAGGGTCCACACCACATGGATGTGGTTGTAGAATAAAGGGATGGACACTGAAACCTGCCTCTGCCCAAGGTCCCCCCTGCAAACAGGAGCTCATGCAAGGAAAGAAGGAAGAATACTTTATCACTGTTCAACAGTTCAGAGATGTTCAAGCTCCTTGAATCCTGTGTTCAGCTCTGGGTTCCCCACTACAAGAGAGGCATTGAGGTGCTGCAGCGGGGCCAGAGAAGAACAATGAAGCTGGTGCAGGGCCTGGAGCACAAGTGTGATGGGGAATGGCTGAAGGCCCTGGGGGGGTTTAGTATGGAGAAGGTTCAAGGGGACCTTATCACTCCCTACAACTGCCCGACAGGATGGAGCCATGAGGGGGCATGGAGACAGGATGAGGAAACGGCCTCAGGCTGCACCAGGGGAGGTTTAGATGGAGCTGGGGAACAATTCCTTCCCCAGAGGGTGCTCAGGCATTGGAACAGGTTGCCCGGGGCAGTGCTGGAGTCACCATCCCTGCAAGTGTTCACAAACCATGTACACAAGGCCCTTAGTGACATTGTTTAAAGGTGGCCCTTGGCAGTGCTGGGGGAACAGCTGGTCTTAAAAGATCTTTTTCAACCCAGCTGATTCCATGATTGCTAATGTTCTTTCCTTAGGTACTTGAAAGCAGAAGCAATGGTATTAAGTCCGTGCTATTAAAATCCTTCTAAACAATTTGCAAGGTTTGGAGTTGGATTTTTCCCCCCCATACTGAGTTCTATTATTAGGAACTCACCAGAGGATCCCCTCCTAAACAAGGGCCCCTCACTAAGATGATGCCAGGCTCCTCCTACTACCAGCTACCTCTGTTACCATTCTCCTACCTGCAATTCTGCTCAGGAGCATCCTTGTTCAGAAGCTGTTTCTTTAAATCACCAATCATTAGCCAACACAATAAGAAGTATCTAATATCTTTACACTGCCAACATCATTCCCAATGGATCACAAATAGCTCAAACAGAATGGAAGGATGGAATCCCAAACATTTGTGCAGAGCTGATCTCCCTACTGATACCAAGAGGGAGAAGTGCTGGAGAGGCAAACCAAGGACAACTGGGCTGTTGACATCAGCACCATTCAGTACTGGAAGGAGCTCCTCAGAGCATCATGGAAAAGGAATGGAAACACCATTTCGGAAGTTTCCTTGGAGTTCTAGAGCTTAGGAAGAGAAGTTTGCATCCAAAAGCAAGGAAAACAACCTCTATAAATTACTAATTGTAATGGCCTTCATCAGTAAGGTCTGGTGTTTTAGTATTATAGCCAAATTTAGGTTTTAGAAGGCACACTAAGGGCTTTTAGTAGTTTTGCTGGGATGTTCTACGTAGGTTTACATTAAAGTGCCTGTCCATTAGCCTGGGTGTTTCTAAAGTAAGATGTGCAGTATAAAAACCCCAACAAAATAAACATGTGGCATGGACTTCATATCCACCTTTAGTCACCATTTGCTACCTACAGTTATTAATCCCAATGACTTCAGCCGCAGGATGATGTATTCCTCTGCCTACTACAGGAACAGCTCAGAAAACCCAGAAACCTTTCTCCTTATTCCCAGTACACAGAAAGGACAACAAATTCAGGAGAGGGACAAGACAAACTGACTTAAAAGCGAGCTGAAATTTGCAATGAACTACATCATAGAGCTTTCAAACCTACCAGTCATAGCTTGGCCCGAGATAACACTGAACACGATTCTCTTCCCCATTTGTAAACCTCTTGTTTCTTTCTGTTAGAACTTCCATCAGCCAGACAGAAGTTTAACTGTGCAAATCTTAAATATCTGTACACATTAAGTTTAAGGCAGTTAAAAATCTCTGAATATATATTAGATCTACAAGCTCTTTAATATGACTGTGGAAAAACTACCTCCTTTTCAAAGGAGCCACACATAAAAGTTTGTTTAGTATAAATAAGGTCTCCTTTTTCTTTAGTATAACTCATGAATGACAAGCTTTTAACTTTTTTCCTATCAGAACTTCATTCCCAATAACCTGTCACCTTCTACTTTCAGGATGAGTTTTAAAACTAAAAGTTAAATTAGTGTTTGTGCTCTAGAATGAAGAGTTTAGACCACACTAAGGAAAAACTTACTATTAACCTTCACTAGATAAAAGCAAGTTTGACATCAAATTGAACTTGTATGTGAAAGTTGCTTCTGTTTGGTTTTCCAGTTTGGAATAGCTAAGTTTTTAAGGATAAATATGTCTCCAAAGAAACAAGATATGTCATTGCAATAACCTTGTGTCTCTTACAGTTAATACATTTTGTCTTGCCCCGTAAATAGCCTGATGTTTCAGAACACAAGCTCTGCTTCAACATACGTACAGTGTTTATTGGGATGAAGTACAAGCAACTCAAATATAGCAGCCAAAGCATGGAAACACATTCCAATTCCTATTCCAGCCGAATATAAAACAACCACCCCATCCTATACAAAATTTCCCTGGCAAGTTTTGTGACAACACAGAAAGAAATTTGCCTCCTTGGTCAAATTGCTTCATGTGAAGATTCCTTATGCAACGTGCAAGCTTTTCCTTCAGCAAGTATGAAAAATAGACTGTAATATGTTAAAAAACTAAATGAAAGCACGTTCTCAGTCAATGCTGATTATGTTGGCCTCTTGCAAAATGGCAAGCAAAGTCATACTTATTCTTACACTTACAGCCACATATGTTGCACTGAAAAGGATTTTCAAATCCATGACATCCCATGTGAATAGTATAAAGGATATTGTCCGCAAAGTACATGTCACAGTGTTGGCAGTGATGCAGGAGCTGAGGGTCCTGAACTGGAAGGGTTGGTGCTGGAGTACTCGGTTGACTATTACTTATGCTGGGAGTACTGGTATGGGCGCTGCGATCACTGCTGGGACCCGCCACGGGGCTGTAGTTCCTTTGATTGTGTGTAGGCCGAGGATCTGGGCTAGCTGGAGATGAGCTTTGAGGAATATTTGCTGACACAGCTGAAACTACTGCAGGTGCAGTAGGCTGCTGTATCATGAAAGGCTTCTCATCTTGACAGGAAACTTCATCAGGCGAGCCTGGGTTTTGGTTTTCGGGTGGCAAACTGGATAACTGTCCTGCTAAAGTAGAGAGCTGGTTTAAAGGATTATCTACCATAAGGTCCTGTGGATCTCTTGGCAACCCACTGCTCTGGGTTGGTTTTGTCATGCTCTCATACGCTTCCGTCTGGATATTTGGAATTTCATGAGTGAAATCATTAAGGTAGTCTGGTTTCTGCACCACCATGGAAGGTGGACTCAAATTAATTAATGCTCTTCTGCTGTAGCCCAAATTGCTGGTTTTCTTCTGCAAAACCCCCCATATCTTCTTGCTGCTTAGGGAGGACCTTGTACCCTTGATAGGCACCATTTTATGCTTGCGCCTGCGGTGGTGGGATAAGTTGCTCCTGTCGCTGCAGCGGAAGGAACACAACTCACATTTGTATGGTTTCTCACCTGTGTGTGAGCGCATGTGAGCTTCCAGGTGACGTTCATAAGCTGATGCAAAGGGACACAAGTGGCATCTGTGCGGCTTCTCACCTGGAAAATTCAGAGAGATCATACTAGAGCATCTCTGAGTCCTTGAAAAAGGCTTTTCATGGAACAGAAAGTAGCTAACAGGGAGCTTCAGTCACTGCTAGTCTTGAGTTTAGCTGTGTATTTGGTGGAAAAGCAAATGTAGACATCTCTGCCTCAACGAAGTGATAATAATCCCAGGAATAAACTGTGAACACAATGAGCATAACATAACCTGACCAGGAACTGCAGCACGATGCCAAGGGTTGAACGCAATGGTGTCTGGATTCAGTTAAGAGCATCACACAAACCGTACCTCAGCTATAAAGCACATAAGCAGTGTACCACCACCATGTAACCATTCTTACTGATAACTGGGTTGAAACACTGAGGGAGGGTATCCTTCCAGCATCTTCCAGACGTTCCTACCTTTAAACATCGTGGAACTGTTCTCTAAATAACACATGCATTCAAGAACTGAATGCTGAAAAAGGATCCTATGGTTAAAGAGGTATTAAAGAAAATAAAATCCCTGGGGAGCTGTGTGCTCTCAGACATGACAATCAGGTATTCTCCTTCCAGAGAGATACAACTTTGCTCTTCTACTAAATGATACTGAAGAGATATTCACATTAACACTTCAGAAAGTACTTAGAAAGCTGTCAAACGTAAATACAAGCCAACACATTGGTAACATCATACTTCGGGACTTAATTTTCCTTTCAGACTGATCCTCTAGGAGATTTTAGATCCAGATCTGCAACGTTAGAAAAGCCCAGAGGATTAGGTTCATGTTCAAGTGCCGAAATGAAACATCATCTTATCTTCCTATCTAGGACACCAGGTCAATTTCCAAATCTCAGTTGTGCAACTGTCTTGCCACACAGCACATCAGGCTCCAGAAAACTGGGAGTCAGCGCCTGCTCTTCAGCATTCACAGGGGTTTTTAGAAGCATTTTCTACTATTTTACATACACATTTGATTTCTGGCTTTTAAAATCCATCTAGAACAACTGTAAAAGCCAGACGTCTGAACACAGAGAGGGCCACTAATACACTGCAAGCACTCTACAGGTCCTCAAAGATGTAATGTGACTGACAAGAGAAAGCCCTTCCCATATTCAGCATCCCACAGTCTGGAATCACAACCTGGGATGCTAAACAGAAGATTTTTTTCGTTCCTCCCTATGTCACTGTCTCTTCAAGAGGGTAAAAAAGAAAAAGCCATTTTTGTGCTACCTCTAAGTACTTTATTCACAACAACTGAAACCAGTTTCTTCATAAGCATATATATGTATTTTCAAATATACATATATATACACACACACATAACGATGTGGAGATGTGGTACACAGATGGATGGAAGAAGACTGACAAGCTTCCTGCATTCACAAAGAACTTGTCAGTCTCAATGGTCTTCTTTCATTCCAAACTGGTTACACAGAGATGATTTGCATCGCACATTGCACACCCTTAACACAACACAGCTGCTGAGCTACTAATTACACTGCCGCCAGACTCAGCATGGAGTAATCCTGTGGTAAGTTGCACTTAATGATTGTTGCCTGATGGTGTCTGGGTCCTAATTACTCTGGCAGATCCCTTGCTGCACTTGCATGTTACCCAGAACACAGCATCTGTTTACTTGCAGTGCTCTAAGGCTACAGAGTAAGCTCTCACTTCTCTATTTTAATGCTGATTCAGTCACTCAGTCTTCACAGTCCATGCAATCCATCTCTGGGCCTTTTGCCACGCTTCTGAGCAAAACAACACTCAGGCCTTGGATCTCCTTGCTCTTGCATGGAAAAAATAAACCCAGGAAAGCAAACCAAATAAAACACTCCTTCCTTATTCTGGAGTCCTTCTGTACAAAGAAACAAAGCAGGGCTCTATGAAGAGCCACTGAGGTAATGGCAAAATGGTGCTACCATCAGGACATCAGGCAATGCTGTATTAAAATTAGGGATGTGAAATATATTGCAAAAAGGTGAAGGGGAAACTATAAAGAGAAAGAAAAATATTCTTGTCTATGGTATAAAAACTGGTTGGAGTGGTATAGGGAAATGGGCTTACCATTGTACAGTTACTGGTATTACATTAGCATCAGATGTGTCAGATCCAGTAACGTGCCATCCCACAGGCAAAGCTCCATTTCTGAGGTGTAATACTAACAATATCATGTACTACAACCACAAGCAACAACTCAAAATATTAGCTAAAGGACAAACACCAAGTATTAAGCTTTGCCCTAAGTAATGAATTGCTGTGGCTCTTGGGGTATTTCCTTCCAAGTAATGACCACTGAGTCAGATTTATGAGGACATTTCTCAGCATCTCAGTTCTTGGTTGGAATCTTTCTTGCTTTTGCATGTATTACGCTGCAACTATGCTGAAATAATCATGACCTGCAGCAGGTATTGTCCTACTACTTCTAGCCACACAGTGACACCTACTCCCTTGAAGTAGCAGAAGGGTAAGAAAGCATTCTGAAAACACAAAATCATAGAATGGCTTGGGTTGGAGGGACCTTAAAGCTCACCCAGTTCCAACCCCTGCCATGGGCAGGGACATCTTCCACTGGAGCAGCTTGCTCCAAGCCCCTGTGTCCAACCTGGCCTTGAACACTGCCAGGGATGGGGCAGCCACAGCTTCTCTGGGCACCCTGTGCCAGTGCCTCAGCACCCTCCCAGGGAAGAGCTTCTGCCTAAGAGCTCATCTCAGTCTCCCCTCTGGCAGGTTAAAGCCATTCCCCTTGGCCTGTCCCTACAGGCCCTTGTAAAAAGTCTCTCTCCAGCTTTCCTGCAGCCCCTTTAGGCACTGGAGCTGCTCTCAGGTCTCCCCTTCAGGAGCCTTCTCTTCTCCAGGCTGCCCCAGCCCAGCTCTCTCAGCCTGGCTCCAGGGCAGAGCTGCTCCAGCTCTCGCAACATCTCTGTTACCTCCTCTGGACTCACTCCAAGAGCTCCACATCCCTTTTGTGTTGGGGGCCCCCACACTGGACACAGGACTGCAGAGAATGTCCCACAGAAACAGAGTAGAGGGGGAGAATCCCCTCCTTCAACAAAAGGACTGTTAGCCTAATATCTGCAAGCATAAAAAAGGGTAGACATTTTCCTAGAGTATGAGAAGGAATGCTTACAGTATACCAATACCCACATTTTGATACCTAAAGAAGGAAGATTTGATTTTTTTTGCTAATATGGCTAAAATTGATATTAAGTAACACCATATTATTTCAGTCATTCTGTTTGAGAAACCCCATGCACACCAAGGCCATCAAAAACATCTCAAGAACCAGCAAACACACAACAGCAACATCTTCTAGCAGCCATTTATGTCTCCATCACAGCTCTAGCAGTCCATCTGCTCATGTTGATAACTGAGCTGTACTAACTGTGGGCTTGAGGATGCAAGATTTTAGATGGGAATAGCTATATGTCACCAAAAAGACATGAAACTTTAAGGTTGATGTTACCCCTGCACCTTTAAGCACTATTTAAAAAACAAACTGCTAAGTCTGCAGTAGTTTCTCCCACTACATGACCCTTCTTTCACAAGCTCAGAAATAGCACTGCACAGAGTAAAGCTGCTAGATTTCTCCTTATCCACATACCATAAGGGGCAAATGGTAAGTGAAGATGTAGCTGTTTTATGAAAAACTAGATGGAAAAAGTGCTCCAGAACTCAGTGCTGCTCTGCAGGTCTGCAGCAAGCCATGGCATCAACACTGTGTAAAATGCAGGTACAGAAGCCATGGTATTCTATCCGCTATTGGATAATACACAAAATTTCCACTGGGAATCTGAAAACAGCAACAGCTACAGACAGAGGTAGCTCACAGTAGCACAAGAGGAGAATTTAGATGATGTTTAGAGTCTGAACCTCAGAACTTTGATTTCTAGCCGGCTGCCATTTTCCATCCCATTATGCCTTGTTAAAATAAGCCAACACTGCAAGACCAGCACAAGGAGCACTGACTTGCCAAAATACATCCTCTAAATGACTGTGTAGACACAGTGGTTCACAGCAAAGTGAGAATCTGACTAACAATAACCATACCTAAAGAGAGCTACGATTACACCCAAGTGACAACAAAACATTTCCTTCGAAGAGAATCCCCAAATGCCACCTACCCAAGACCACTGAAGTGAGACACGTAAGTTTTTACAGGTTTCAAGTCTGGTTCCAAAACTTGTACATTTTTTCCAGAATACTTCTTTTATTTTAATTATTACTTTAGTGACAAGCCATAAAGTCTTCTGAATTGGTAACTGTATTCTGTAATAACTGGGCAGGCACCAAAGTCAGACTTCACAAGGAGCTTTTGTGTGTTTCCTCTCACTTGCCAGAAGGTCAGAGCTGACTTCACAGTTTAGGATATTCTAACCTAACTCAAGAGATTTGCATTTCAGCTTTATAAACCCAACAGTGGGAAATGCCACAGAAAATACTTTTTTTTCATTACTATTATTAGTAATGATCACTTTTTGATGCCATGTGGTCACATTTGAATAAAGCTTTATTCTTATTACTGTGTTTTGTACTTCCACATCTAGAATGTGGCATGAAACAGGAATATCTTCATAGCTAATTAAGAGAGGAAAAAAAGCCCCTATAACCTCCAAGGAAAGAGCTATGTTACCTTTAGGGCCTTCCAATTTACACTGATGCTTTCACACTAAACTTTACTCCCATATATCAAATTCAGTAGCCTGCTATAATAAATCTAATTGCTGAGTAACTCTAGAACAAACATCTTCAAGCAGTGTGATAACTCCCCATGTGCAAGTCATACCACTGAGTTCAAGGCACAGTGTTTAATGTACAGGAAAGCACAGCAGAGTATTTCATACCTGTATGAATTCGGATGTGCTCTATGAGCCGTGCTGTGCCTTTGCTGGCGTAGTTGCAGTACCGACACTTTAACTTCCCATCAAACGTCCGTTCAAAGCCATCCACCAACATTCCTGAGTTTTCATCCAGTGAAACTTCAACTGAAGGATGATCCAGTCCATTCTGATCACCTTCTGTCCCAGCTGTAAATCATACAACACAGATGTCAATCAAGAATCGGTGGGATACTACTGAGAACATGCTACACATCTTTAGCTTCCCTATGCCCTTGGTCTTTCTATTTAAAGCACCGTAAGAACATCCCCTTATCGTAACAAGGGTACAGCCACATCTTTTCTGATGAGAAAAAAAAACTATCAGAAATACTTCTGTATGGTTATAGGCCTCTGCTTAATTATCTGGAACATCAACAGCGCAGTCATTGTCTAAGAGACTAAAATTTGATAGCACTGCAATTTGCTTACCTCCCTGGAGAGTCTCTGCTTCCTTGTCTCCACAAACTGATCCAGAAATCATATTTACATGGTGAGTCTGCTGTGTAAGATATTCCTGAAAATCCTTTACAAAGTCCAAAGTTTCTGGCTTCTTCTCACCCATATTCAGTCTTTTAAGTTTACAACCTCTTGTGCCTAGAAGGAAAAATATTGTCATAGAAATCACAGAACTGTTTGGGTTGGAGAAGACCTTTCAAAATCATCAGTGCAACTGTTAATTCAGCACAGCCAAGGCCACCACTAAACCATGCCCCTAAGTTCCACATTTACAGGTATTTTAAATACCTTCAGGGACAGCAACTGCACCACTTCCCTGGGCAGCCTATTCAGTGCTTGACAACCCCTTTAGGGAAAAATGTTTCCCAATATCCAATCTAAACCTCCCCTGGTACAACACGATGATGTTTCTTCTTGTCCTGTTGTTACCTGGGAGTAAACCAGCCACCACCTGGCTCCATCCTCCTTTCAGGTAGTTAAGAGTGATAAGGATCCCCCCTGAACTGAACACGGGATTCAAGGTGTGGCCTCACCAGTGTTGAGTAGAGGAGGACCATCACTGACTGCCCTGGCCCTGCTGGCCACACCAGTACTGGCTCAGACCAGGATGCTCTTGGCTTCCTTGGCTGCTGGGGCACACAGGCATTTTTTTTTTTTACCCAGCAAAGAGTACACCCATCCAAGCCCTGAACAGCAGTTTCTCCAAAGAGAATGCTGTGGGCATTAAAGGCTTTACTGAGGTCCAGGTCAACAACATCCAACATCTAGTAAGTGCTTCATCTTGTCATAGAACATGAGGTAACTCAAGCAGGATCTGCATTTCATAAAGCCATGCTGACCGGGCCTGATCTACTCCATCACCTTCCCTGCCACCAAGGTCAGGCTGACAGACCTGTAGTTCTCTGGATCCTCCTTCCAGCCCTTCTTGTAGATGGGTGTCACACTTGCTAACCTCCAGTCAAACTGAGACCTCACCAGTGAGCGAAGACTGCTGGTAAATGGTGGGAAATGGCTTGGTGAGCACTTCAGCTAGCTCCCTCAGTAGCCTTGGGTGGATCCCATCTGGCCACATAGACTTGTGTGTGTCTAAGTGATATAGCATATTGCTGACCAGTTCCACTTGGATTACATGGGCTCCATTCTGCTCCCTGTCCCCGTCTCACAGTTCAGTTTCAAAATGCAAATGTCACTGAATTTGAATGCATTCATACAAACAAGTTTAGGTTTGGATTTCTTTTTAAGCAAAGGATTGCTTTTATCATACAGCATGACTCAATGCAAAGTGACAACCATACAAATATTTTTTTTTAGAGCTTTTAACTCATTAAAAACTCATCACCAAATATATATTACTTGGGAAACTGGGTTTTAGCAACAATATAAAAATGAATAAAATGAAGTAATAATCAAAATCAACTAACTCTTTTTAATTGATCATACCTGAATTTTAGTTCCCTGCTAAGCAGCAAACATGGTCCCAGAGGTACTCTCAACAGGTTAGATATAAAGCACAGGGCACAGCTTCTCCACTTTCCCTGGAAGAAAAACAAGGAAATGTAAGTGCATTATTCTCCTCAAGAGTCGTAAGAAAGGAACTTGAAAAGACAGCTGTTTTGAAAGCCAGGCTCTAACACTGTACTGCTGTTAGTTTTAGAGAAACAATTCCACTTCCAGCAGAAACTTCTCAAAGACTGCATCCACTCCTACATACATCCCACTGAAAGACACTTCTATCCCACTGATTATCTGAAGAGTTTCCCTGGTGAAGACATAGCTCCAGAAAATCCCAGAGGTGGGTAAATTCGTTATAGCAACTGTGATGCTGGGAAACCAACTGGATGTCACTGATTAGCAAGAAAGAACAGAAAGCAGTGTTTCACACTGTCCTGGGTTCAGCTGTAGCAGTTATTTTTCTCCTTCCTAGTAGCTCGTGCAGTGCTGGCTGGGCTTAAACCACAACACAGACTTCTTCCGTAATTCCAGTTTCCTACCCTGCATAACAGCCATAATCCAGTTCATTATTTCACATTGAAATAGTAACAGTATTCACTAGAAGTCACTGGTCATGCTCTTTTCTGGAGCATGACAAACCCCTAGAGTCTCCATTTGCAATGTATTTATGAGGACAGAATTTAGGATTCAATTGGGAAGAGGGTGGTGAGTCAGTCATATTATTATTCCTACAGATTATAATCACAAGTAATTTAGAATGCTACAGTTTCACTAAGAATATCTTTTTGCTTTCCAACAGCTACTAAACAAAGAATCAGTGACCTACAAAAACTCAAGTATTGAGTTCAAGACCACATTTAACCACATTCTCCTGTATTTTCAAAGTTATTTACAAGCATTAGTTCTTTTCTGGCAAGCAGATGAGTATGGTCTTCACACACAGTTGAGTGTGCTCAACTACCATGGCTATTCTCACCATTAAGCTAATCCTGAACACAACTTTACGTATCAATTTTGCCTACCCTCCTTCAGGTGTTACCCGGCTTCCGTAGGCTGAAGTTAATTTATGTTCTTTTTGTTGGTGTCTCCTGTAATAAAACAAAGATATCAGGATATGAATTAAAGGTATGGAAGAGAAAAAAGCAGGATGAGTCCTGACCAACTCTCACCAGATTAGAATAGTAAGAAATAACCATTTAAAGTTAAATCATCATTTTAAATGTGGAATGTTTCAACATGAAACAATGTTAAAGGTCTTTCACAAAAAGACTATATATCCCTTCGTACTGGGGGCAAAAAACACACTTTAATACAATTAACTGTATCCTTACACTGAATTTTAGAAGAAAATTACACAAAGAAAAAAAAACTGATTGAGGAAAAGACTTATTTTGGTTATCAACTCCATTAAACTTCCTTTCTTCACCTCATCAATTTAATTTGAAAACATTCATCCTTTTTTCTTACATCAACGTAGGTAAATTGCTGCCATTCAGCACCGCCTCAAACCTCTATACACATGCACAAAAGAACCCTTTGTGATTTTAGGTGGTATTTCTTATGGCTATCCAACCAGCAGTTCTCCTTTTCAGGAATGAATGATACAGATCAGACACTCGCTCTGCCACTACTGCAACCTAATAAATGCAATTCTCACTATCAGCAACCTGAGCACACCAGCTCGTGTTTCACGCACTCCAACAGGGCTGATCATGCCACGTGCTCCTCAGGTCCTGCTAACACAGAACATCATCTTCGCAGACAAAACTGAACCTTCTCCAGCTTTACACACTGACGGGTGGCACACCAGTTACTCACCGTCCACTCAGGTACTAGTCTAACACTAGTTACAGTGATGATCTGTACTAAGATTATTGGCTCCGAAGCACCAGAAGGATGAAAGGTGGTGTAAGTATTTTGCCTGAAGAATTCTGCTAAAGAAAATAACTCAGACGCATAAAACCAGTGGTTTAACACACACAGCAAGAACTCATACTGCGTAATTACGAGACTAAAATAATATGACTATGAGCACATGCATCCTGGTTTCCTTTATGGAATTAAGGGGGGGGGATTCTCTACCTCAGCCTCATCTCTTCCAGAGTAAATGATTTAAAACTAAAGGAGATAAGCTCCCAGGCTCTCTCCAAGCCCTCCCTGCTCCTATACCAGTGTAACTATAAGAGAATCAAATGACTATGAGAACATGTACCCTGTTTTCTTGAAAGGAATTAAGGGGGAATTCTCTGCCTCAGCCTCATCTTTTCCAGAGGAAAAGATTTAGAGCTAAAATAAGGAAGGGGGAAGGATCCCAGCCTCTCTCCAAGCCCTCTCTTCTCCTTCTGAAGGACTTTTACGCGTGGGAAGGAGAATCACAGAAAGCTTTGGGTTGGAAAGTACTTTAAGATCACCTATTTCCACCCCCATCGCAGCGCCGGCCGAGCCCCGCCACCCGCCACAGTAGCCGCCGCAGACAGCGGCTCGCTCCGCCGCCCCCGATCCACACCTCACGGTGCAACAGCAACTCTGCGCGTCCTCCACCCTCCTCCGACCCACAGTCGCCTCCACACTGGGGCAGGAAGCGACACGGCCACGGGAGTCCTCCACTTAAACCCAGCTCCCACACAAGGGAGACGCTGAGGGGCTACACCGGTGGACCTCGGCCCCCGCTCCCAATGGACGAGCACAGCTCTGCCTGTCTGCTTGCTTGCTTGCCCGCTCCACACAGCGAGCGGAGAGCAGCCGCATCCCCTCCACCCGGCCTCAAAGCTGGACGACAACGAGGGGACCCCGAGCATGAGGAGAAGAGATGAAAGCTACTCACCACCGCGACCGCCGCCATGTTTGTTGTGCCTTCGGCAGCTGTGCCCGGCCCACCGTAACCTCGCGAGACCTTGTCGGGGGGGGGGCGTGGCCCGCCGGGCTGCGCGCGCACGTGGGGAGGTGGGGAGGGGGGGCGGGTCGGTGGTCGTGGTGTGGTTGGGGGCGGGCGGGAGGCGGAAACAATATGGCGGCGGCGGCGGCGGGAGGTTGGCTGAGGGGATGCGCGAAGGTGAAGCGGGTGTTTGAGGGCAGCGGGGGTGTGACGGGACCGGGGAAGGGGAGCTGCGTTAGCCTGCAGGCCGCTAAGGGTGAGAGTGGCTCCGGGAGCTGTGCAGGGGTGAGGGTGCGTGTGTAAAGCGCTTTTCTCCCTGTCTTGCCCTGGACAGGGGCTGTGGGGTAACTCTGCGTTAAGAAAAGGCCTCGTGAAATGGTGTGGTGGGGGGAGCAGCCCGCGGCTGGGGTGTCTGTGAGGTGACAGCAGAGGTGCTTTGGTGTCCCCTGATCTAAACAGGGTTGTGGTACTGCAGGGGTAATCTAAGGCAAAGGGAACAAGAAAAAAACGCTGGGTCTGCCCTTTTACTGTGCAGAGGGAAGGAACGTGCTGGAGAGCTGTATTTCAGGCCATATGGCAGAGTGTTGTGGTGTTGTGATGACTGAAATACAGAAAACTGACCCATAAATGAGAGCAGGCAAGTTTGCTGTGGTGCGACTTCTCTGCTGAGGAATAAGGGCTGTCAGGAAGCGAGATAGAGGAATGAAAGTCATCAAAGAAAGAAGGCCAGGTTGGACAGGGCTTGGAGCAAGCTGCTCCAGTGGAAGGTGTCCCTGCCCGTGGCAGGGGTTGGAACTGGATGAGCTTTAAGGTCCCTTCCAACCCAAACCAGTCTGTGAATATTCTATGAATTGTAGGAATAAAAGTGTAAAGAATAATAAAATCTAAATTAAAATTTAAATCTAAATGTTGAAATCACCATTTCTGTGCTATGCTGTAACTCTGGCATACGCATGGGTTGCTGCTCTATGTGGGAGTGGTGGTGGTGTTGTGGTCTGCAAGGTTTGTACTTCTAACTTTGCCTGGAGCAGAGTCCTCTGCATTGATCTAGTGATGTGTTCACCCACGATAATCCCACATCTTAGTGTCAGGTGCCATCAAACAGAAGTAGAGGTAATCCCAGTTTACTGCCAGTTGTTGCTTCAACAGTACTGGCTTGTTGCCTGCTGAGCTCACCTCCTCACAGCTTTCCAAATAGGTTTGTATTCTCAAGAAGGCATTTTCCCTACAGCTCTTGGTCAGTGCTGGTGAAATATTCTCAGTGAGGTGTCTTTGGTTATGCCATCATGAAGGAAAAATGTTCTTTTCTTTGTGTTTGGAAATAAAGGAGTGGAAGAAGCAGGATGTATGTGAGATTTGTAGTCCTCTACGACTTAAACAGGTGAATGTTTGCACTCCTAGGTGTTGAGTGACCCTATGTCACTACCCAAAAGGAGTAGTTTAGGATGACCTCCCTCCCCTTGGGACCAACAACCAAGTTCGTGATACACTTGCACTGAATTAAGGTGAAATAACACCAGCCAATCAGTTTTATGATGTATTAATACAAAATACAAGGCATGTGGTTAGATATAACTCACCAATGATTATTTTAACTGGATCAGAGAGTCCCATGCCATGTGTTTTTACTTTGATCTAGTCAATATTAAATGAAAAAGAGAGAAGAGGAGAAGAAAAGAAGGAGAAAGGGAGAGGGAGAAGCATCACCACCCATGGATCCAGCAACATCTCATTGGTCCTCTTCACCCAGGGTATTGTTGCTGGTGGGAGCTCTGACCTGAGCCCTGCACTTTCATGTTCACGTTCTTCTGGGTGCAAAGCAGCATAGAGAGCTGTTACTATGATAATGATGGGCATAGTTTAGTGAGCACATGCCTGATTCCACAGCTGGGTTTCCTTAAGGTCATCCAGGTGGTCAGTGTCCCTCTGTTGTCCCTGTTACCCTGGTGTCTGCTTTTTGACTTCATCCTCTAAGTCAGCTCATCCTTGAGTCATCCTTTCATATTTCTGTGGAGGCTTATCAGCTTCGAACAAAAGGATCAGAACAATCCTAGCTGTTATTCCGTATTGAGAGTATTGACAGCTAACATCCTTGTTATTTGCTTAATTTATGCTTAAGGCCTCTCATGGTCAAATGCATGGACGTGGAGCTGTTGGAGTGAGCCCAGAGGAGGCCACAGAGATGCTGCGAGGGCTGGAGCAGCTCTGCTCTGGAGCCAGGCTGAGAGAGCTGGGCTGGGTCAGCCTGGAGAAGAGAAGGCTCCTGAAGGGGAGACCTGAGAGCAGCTCCAGTGCCTAAAGGGGCTGCAGGAAACCTGGAGAGGGGCTTTGGACAAGGGCCTGTAGGGACAGGCCAAGGGGAATGGCTTGAACCTGCCAGAGGGGAGACTGAGATGAGCTCTTAGGCAGAAGCTCTTCCCTGTGAGGGTGCTGAGGCGCTGGCACAGGGTGCCCAGAGAAGCTGTGGCTGCCCCATCCCTGGCAGTGTTCACGGCAAGGCTGGACGGGGCTTGGAGCAGCCTGTTCTAATGGAAGGTGTTCCTGCCTGTGGCAGGGCTTGGAACTGGATGAGCTTTAAGGTCCCTTCCAACACAAATGATTCTAGGATTCTAAATAATCCACTCCTGACTGACAACTTCTGGAACACAGTTGCTTTGAATTTCATTTCTATCAAGTCAACTCTTTGTTTTCTGCGAAGACCTAACTCCAATAACAGAATCTTAATATGAAAGTGTTGCAGCTCTTGCTGATCATCCAAACTTTGTATTCGTGAATCAGCCCCACTAGTCAGTATATGTGACATGGGGTGTTGAATGTGAACAAACATTGAATGTTCACAGAAATATTTGTTTTCTGTATTACCACTTCTTGCTGGTTTTAGTTGTCAAGCATGACTAGTTGGAGTTTCCTTACTATAATAGACTTACACATCAGACAGGAGTCTGTAGATCTGCTTTGCATCAGTTCTTCAGCCAGGGAGATGACAAGCGTTGAAAGCCAACATAAAAGAGAGTGAATTATTAGAAGGATCAAAGGAATTTTTACTTCCTGACCCCAAAGTTTCTGCTGGTTTTTGAGGAATGCTGCTATCAGTGTGCATTGTGATATTGTCTTGCGATCAGAGAGCTGAATAGCAGTCTGGTTACAGCACACTCTGTCGGTCTGCTCACTGTGGGGTTAAGAATGTGTGCTGGCAAAAATGTGTGTTAGCAGGCATATGTTCACATATACATTATTTTTATGGCACAGCTATGTCTCTACTGGGAGTTTCTGTCAGCAGTTGTCTTGGGAAGACATTAATATATCCACACTTTAGACTGACATAGCAGAAGTGACAGAAGTCTGTGGCGAAGATCTGATCTGTAGATGCTAGCCACAGCATAAATGGGGTTTGGGGACCTATGAGAGTAAAGCCATGTTTCTGTCATGCCCCCTTTGAGATCAAAAGCTCAGTTTATCATTAAAGTTGACTGGCCTTCTGTAAAAACCATTTGTAAGTCTATTTCACATTTACTCTTACCCTGTTTATTAATGAAGATACTAAATCTATCAAAACATACACTTAGTACTATGAATATTGCAACAGACTTGGAAAATCATCTATAAAAATAAATACTATTATCAGTGTGCTTGTATATATACAGTATATTGACTAAAATTAATGTTTGTAAATCCGTTGTAGAATAGGATTATGTTAGCAAACTTCCACGAAGAAAACTGTTTGAGGTTAAAAGGAGAGTAATTAAAGGATATTTTCTCTTAGGGCACTGGGAGTGGGGAGGTTTGTATCATCTCAAAAACTTTCAAACTAGACATTGAATGTAAATGATAGTTCCTCATCATTTACTGAATCAAAACACTGAATAAAATGGTGTATTGCTGTGTGTACACAAATACAAGTTCTAGTAACTGTTTGCATGTTCTGTGTTTATTGTCAACAGCTGAAAAGAAATATGCCAGTGTATTTGGCTCCTTGGAGGGCTTCTCCATGTGCCTTTCGATCCTCCAGATCTGAACCCATGCCAAATCTAGCCAGTGATGGAGTTGTCTGTGCTCCACTTCAGACATTCACTCAAGAGGAGACAATGCTGAAAAATATGGGTACCTATTGTCTGTGCAGTTAAAATTCAGAGATGTCTTAATTAGAAGGGGAATCTTAGCTTTAAAAATTCATTGTTTAATTCTAGGTAAATATTGAGATTGGGGGGGGGGGGAGGGGGTTGTGCTTAATTTTATAAGTGATTTAGCTCACAAGAGAGAAGTGTAGTGTTCTTTTTCCATGTTACCATAGCACAGTTCCATGTACCACAGTGAGGTTACATAAATAAATAAATAGTAAGTGGTTAAAACTGTTGCTGTCACAAAAGTGAAGTTGCCTGGCTCTGACTCATGCTGCTTCTGAAATGTTTAGGTCAGCTATAGGTAACTGCTCCAGTTGGTTTTCAGACCTTTCCAGTATATCCAGAATGGTGATGGATGTGATGTGTCTATAATGCAGCCAGTCCTGCACGAAGATGATAGTGTTTCAGAAGGGATCCTCAAAGCAAACGTGAAAGGATAAGAACCTGCACATCCAAGAGGGAGCTTGTAAAAGGCTCCAGTTAAACAGAAATAGTCTCGCAGGATTTTGTGCACACATAATAACACACGTTAAAGCCTGAGACCATCTTCCTAAACTGCAGGTTTAATTTATAAAGAAATAGGATACGGCTAACCAAGTAAGGGATGTATTTGAATTATTTTCTGTATTTTTTTTCAGTGACCCAGTGTTGCATAAATGTTGCTGAGATGCTTTCAAAGTTCTTGGATTTATAGGATGTTTCCGTTTAGAGAGTTGTAGCTTAGCACAGAAAACAGTTATAATTGAACCTTATAGCACATCACCTTGTTTCAGTTGGGCGACTTTCTGTCCTTTTATTCACTTGTCTGGAAGAGTCAGGGGATATATGCATAACCTGCCCAAAGTACCACGTTACTGTGATACTGATCTTTAAGGAGACTGTTGGAATACTTACATGCTTGCTTTATTCTCTTCATTACAGTGACAAAGTTTGCTCAGGAACGAGTTGCACCTTTGGTACAGAAAATGGATGAGAATTCAAAAATGGAAGACTCTGTAATACAAGGATTGTTTGAACAAGGGGTCTGCATGCTTTTACTTAATCCTTTATTCAGAAGGTGGTGATTTTAGGAATCTCTAGCTGTGCACTTGTCAGATTTTTAGATTAAAAGTTTGAGAGATATAATTCAAATTAACCAGTGCATCATTAAAAATTCTAGATTTATCAACAGCAATGCAACTTTCTCTCAATTTTTAAGCACTCTCCATCTTTTACTGTAGTGTTCTTTCCATGCCTCCCTCTCCCACACCATTGTTTGCCTTACCTTTTAGTTCCTTGTTTCCCCCCCCCGTGCCTTTTTGTTTTGTTTTGTTTTTTCAGTTGGATAAACATAATTGTGTAGAGTGCTTGAACTGCCATGACTCTGATAAGTTTTGCTGGAGTATCAGGAGTCCTCCATGCCTTTACTGGCCAACCACAAGGATTTGTGTTGCAGAAACCTTGGTGTTCGTTCCTGGATCCAATTTTAGCTTTTTCTGCCATCCGGCCTCTCACTGCAAGAGAGATATTGAGGTGCTAAAGCAAGTCCATAGAAGGGCAGTGGAGCTGGTGAAGGGTCTGGAGCACAAGTGTGATGGGGAATGACTGAGGGACCTGGGGGGTCCAGTCTGGAGAAGAGAAGGCTCAGGGGGGACCTCCTTGTTCTCTGCAGCTACCTGCAAGGAGGTTGTAGTGAGGTGGGGTCTGTCTCTTCTCCCAAGTAATGAGCAATAGAACAAGAGAAAACAGCCTCAAGTTGCACAAAGGAAGGTTGAGACTGGATATTAGGAAACATTTCTTTCCTCAAAGGGTTGACAAGCACTGGAACAGGCTGCCCAGGGAAGTGGTTGAGTCACTGTGGCTGGAGGTGTTTAAAAGATGTGTAGATGTGGCACTTAGGGACATGGTTTAGTGGTGGACTCGGCCATGCTGAGTTAACAGTTGAACTCGATGATCTTAAAGGTCTTTTCCAGCCTAAATGGTTCTATGATTCTGTGAGGAATTGTTAGTTTGTTAAGGGTATTGAAGGAAAACAGTTATCTGGAGAAAGATCTGGAAATACATTCTGTGTCTGTTATTTTAATACATTAAGTATCAGGTTGGACTAACAAGTTGCTGACAGGAACTAAGATTAATTTATTTGCATCTTTTCTATTTTAGCTGATGAGTATTGAGCTTGGGGAAGAATATGGAGGAACTGGAGCTTCATTTTTTTCCATCATATTGGTGGTGGAAGAATTAGCCAAAGTCGACCCAGCTGTATCTCTTCTATGTGAACTCCAAAATACACTAACAAATAAGTTGTTTACCACATATGGAACAGAAGAACAAAAAAGAACTTACTTGCCCAGAGTGGCTAAAGATACGGTGAGTCAAAGTCTCACTTTACTGAACTGGAATATGGTTCTTGACAGGGATATTAGTGGGGCTTTTTCTTTCAGTGACAGCAGCATTGGAAAATAATCTTTATGTGTGAGCTTTGAAGCACTGGGTAGAACTGAGATCTGTGGTGCTATAGATACATCCTGTCACCAGTAGCTGAGAGGTAAAAGTGGAAAGGCAGTTACTAGTTTCATTAAAATTTAATTTACTGTGGAAAAGAATGTTAAAGCAGTTGACTTTGAGAGATGTGTAATTACATAGCGTTTCTATTCTTAATCTCCATATCTGAAACTTAATTACTTTGATGCAGTAGGTTAAAATGTTTGAATTTAAGAGACTTGTGCTTGTTCATAACTATTTTAATTGCAGACATGTACCTATATGTTCAGTAAAAACTAAGACTACTTTTTCCCTTGACAGATAGGCAGTTTCTGCCTTTCGGAGGCTGGATCTGGCAGTGATGCTTTCTCTTTGAAGACTCGGGCTGAAAAGAGAGGAGACTACTACGTCATCAATGGCTCAAAGATGTGGATTAGTTTAGCAGAACATGCAGGAGTTTTCTTCGTGATGGCAAATACAGATCCATCCTTAGTAAGTTGCTAAAGAATAGTCACATTTCGGTGACAGCTCATGATATATGAAACTAGGGATTTGATATTAATAATCCGATGGTAAAGGTTAATATTCCTTGCACCTTTTGCTGGCTGACAGCAAACCTTTAAAAATGTTTTCCAACAAAACTTGAAAACTTGCTGAGCAATTTAATAAATTCGTCCCACCAGGGAAAATAAAAATGTCAGGAACATAATTGCTTAGATGAAGAGCACAGCGTGCATTGGGATTATTCTGAGTAAGGGGAGAACAACAGATAGTCTGTGTCTTTCCAGTGCTTCTGACTTAACTGACAAAGTTGCTGTTATTAAAAGGCAAAAGAGAGCTTAGGCTACATGCACTGGAAACCTAACAAGGATATACTACAGAAAGGAGTGTTCAGGTAAAAAAAACAAAGCTGAATATACACATTTCAAGTTCTGCCACCAATTTGGATGTAGGTTGTAGATTCAGAAAAGTCAACTACTGAACTATACCAGTAGAGTAGAGTAATAATAAAATATAAATCTAAGTTATTTAAAACTTTTAGTTATTATTTAACTTCTTTCAGTATCTCTTTCTTAAAATTTTAACTTAAATATATTTATTTTTTATATTAAATTTCCTGTTTTGACTAAGTAAGAAGAAGGGTCTTTCTTTCATTGTACTGAACACAAGAGGGACATGGAGCTGTTGGAGCAAGTCCAAAGGAGGCCATGGAGATGCTGCAAGGGCTGGAGCAGCTCTGCTCTGGAGCCAGGCTGAGAGAGCTGGGCTGGGGCAGCCTGGAGAAGAGAAGGCTCCTGAAGGGGAGACCTGAGAGCAGCTCCAGTGCCTAAAGGGGCTGCAGGAAACCTGGAGAGGGGCTTGGGACAAGGGATGTAGGGACAGGCCAAGGGGAATGGCTTTAACCTGCCAGAGGGGAGACTGAGATGAGCTCTTAGGCAGAAGCTTTTCCCTGGGAGGGTGCTGAGGCGCTGGCACAGGGTGCCCAGAGAAGCTGTGGCTGCCCCATCCCTGGCAGTGTTCAAGGGCAGGTTGGACACAGGGGCTTGGAGCAAGCTGCTCTAGTGGAAGGTGTCCCTGCCTCTGGCAGGGGTTGGAACTGAGTGAGCTTTAAGGTCCCTTCCGACACAAACCATTCTAGGATTCTATGGGTTTAGAGCCATTATTTGATTGACCACTTCACAGTAAAGATACCCAATGTCTTCTTACAACCCACTGTTTGTGACATATGTTCTGATGGCAAGGACTGACTTCACTGCACAGCAATAACTTGCTTTCCCAGTGATTTCCAGTATAGACAGACATCAGAGTCCTATTTGTTTCATTTACATAAAACCAGTTCCTTCTATCCTCAAGAGAACTTACGAGGTTCTTCTGATCATGTTTTCCACATGGAATATTTTAATAGAAAGGCATCCCTGGCCTATGTAAACCATAGTTAGCAGACATAGAGGGATCAAATGATGGTACCAGTGTTTTATTTGGTAATATAGTATTAAGCATGTGTAAAATTTCCGTATTGGAATGAGATGTTTTGATACCATTTGGTGATATTAGTGTCACAGTTTAACCTACTAAGCACCACACAACCAAAACCAGCACAATTAGTATAAAAAGAAAGCAGTTCTTAATTACTTTTTAATTCATCCTAGGGATACAGGGGAATTACATGCTTCATAGTAGATCGTGACACAGAGGGGCTACATGTGGGGAAGAAGGAGGACAAGCTTGGAATCAGAGCGTCTTCTACCTGTCCAGTAACGTTTGAAAACGTTAAGGTATTGTAGGTTGTTTAGCTATTGCAGCATAATTTGCATGTAATTGGAACTTGACCACATACAAGGATGTTAACTAAGTCCCCTAATTATATTTTTTCCTCAGACATACTGGTTAATTGGCATATTTTAACTTTTTCCTCCCTGTTCTTTCACAGAAGTCTTGAGGGAGGTTGGTTTACTTAAGTTTTAATACAGTTTTTCTCAAACACCGGTTTATAATTGCTAAAAAAAGTGGTAAATGCCCCATCCCTGGCAGTGTTTAAAGCTGTGTTGGACAGTCTTGGGCAGTATGGTCTGTGGTGAGGTGTCCCTGCCTATGGCAGGAGGGTTGGGACTAGATGATCTTAAGGTCCTTTCCAACCCTAACTGTTCTGTGATTCGATGATAACCACATGAGGAAACGTTCTAATCAGATATTCTAGAATCAAATGACTAATTTAGAATCATAGAATAGTTAGGGGTTTATAGTTAATGTTTTATGTTTCACTGGGGAGGACTATTAAATAAACCTTGTAGACTGATTCACCTCTGAACCTTTCTACTAGAAGCTGCAAAGCAGAATAGAACAGGAATAACGGTGGTATTTTATTTTTTTAGGTTCCTGAGACCAATATCCTGGGGCAGGTTGGACAAGGCTATAAGTATGCAATTGGAATGCTAAACACTGGCAGAATAGGTATTGCTGCACAGGTGGGTAATTCTGTTTAATACTGAATACAGCCAGTACAGAACTGGATTGAGATTTACAAAATACCTAAAGCTAACAAGAAGAAACTATTTAGAAAATACTATATTAAAACCTCAGTTGCCAGTAGATGTCACTGTTCCTGTAGCTAAGTTACAGTCAAATACTGAAACAACTGTAAATGGTAAAATTCTCCTTTGGTGACATAAGCAATAGATTTAGAAAACATTAAATAGCAATTAGTTTGTCTTTGAGGGTTAACGTATTGCTTCTGAGGTAGAGCAACATCTTTCATTATGCAAATCTATTTTACAAAGAAAACTCCCATTAGAAAATATTACTCACTGAGATGTGTAATATTAATGCTTCCAACTGGGCTTATGTAGGATTACCAAATGTGACTTTATTCTATATGATGTTTTCCCAACAACTTCTTTTTAAAAGTCTACTTATTTTTAAAATAAATACTTTTCTTTATAGCAGAGGTATCCTAGTTCATTGTATTTGAAACTTGCACATTATGGCATCTTAGGGGGAAATATTTACTGACCTTGGAGTTTAAAATGTTTTTTGTTGTAAACTCAGTTTCGGTCTCAGATTACTGCTGATTTCCATGGAAATCAGGTTCAGCCCTATAATAAAATGACATAGGACAAGTATTTATGTTTTTAGCTTACTTCTGAAAGTAATGCTTTCTCTGTTTCTACTGTGTTGTGGATGTAGTTGTGTTGTATAGGATATAATATGTCTGTGCTACCAGTCTCCCTTATCTTTTGCCCTAGTTTACAGACAGACCAGGAGTGTTCCTCATGAAATTTAGACTTTCCACGTGGGAGTATACTATGCTGCTAAATGGGTTGGCTTTTCCATCATTTATAAAGCTTATCTGTGATTAAACTTAGTTTGATACGGCATTTAAAAACCAGGGGTATAAATAATATAAAGGTTCTGGCAGTAAAATAAATGGCCTTATTTTACGCTTAATTACTCCAAGTTACATTTACAACCTAACTAAAAGTTAAGGTCAGGTAGTTGTTATATCTTAAGTTACTACTTTCTTGGCACCTCTCAAATTAAGAGAAGTACACTTGAACGGACAAGAACAGCAGTTCTAAAGCCCTGTAGAATTGAATATAGTTTGGCAGTAGAAATAGTTTTAGAAGGTAATTAACATCTTATAAAATGTAATTGTGGCTGTGAAAAGGTGAATGCGAGGTAACTCCATACATTGTTACAGCTACTGAGGTGGATATACTTGGTTCATCTATATGAGTTTATAGCAGAAGGCAGCAAATCTGGTGATACAGTAACATTGCTTTATGTTCTTTTCCCAGATCCCCATTTTCCTATATATTGTGGGTTTTTTTCTAGAACCTTAAATGATGAAGGTGTAGATGTCTGAACCCAGGCAAGGCCATGGTTTTATCTTCTTGGGGCCTTGGCTTTCAGCTTAATATGTGGGTCTATCCAAAAATACCCGTACAGTATTGTACATCACTGAAAGTAGTTTGACTAAGCTCCTGAGTGTGGCAGCTGACTGCCACATTATAATACCCTGTCTTGAAGTAGAAAAGTTTTATGAGATTCCAATTTTACTATATCCCTCACTTTTTGATAGTTCTTCATGCCCTTAATTTCCCTCTTTTTTTAACTTTTTTCCCTTTGTTTGATGCTTCCCCTAATCTGATTTCCTATCTTTGTTTTTTTCTAGGAATAAAACTAGGTAGACAGAATGCACTCAGACGGATAGTAGTTACATAATAAAACCAACTGATCTTATTTACTAATAGCTATATATCCCAAGATATATGAAAAGCAGGATCCTTTCTTTACTATCTTTTTTGGAATGGAGAACACTTCTCAAAATCTGATAGTTAAAAAACCATAAAACTAGTTTACTTTCATAATGTTTCTTCAGGCTAACAAATCAGACACTAGGAGACTCCAGTGACAGTGATGGGTTCAAACTGAAACAGGGGAAATTCAGATTATGAAGACAGGCTGAGAAAGTTGGGGCTGTTCAGCCTGGAGAAGAGAAGGCTGCATGGAGACCTCAGAGCAGCTTCCAGTGTCTGAAGGGGGCCTACAAAGATGATGGAGAGGGACTCTTCATAAGGGACTGGAGTGATAGGGATGATGGGTTCAGTCTGAAGCAGGGGAAGTTCAGGCTGGATATAAGGAAGTTCTTCCCTGTGAGGGTGGTGAGGCACTGGAATGGGTTGCCCAGGGAAGTTGTGAATGCTCCATCCCTGGCAGTGTTCAAGGCCAGGTTGAACAGAGCCTTGGGTGACATGGTGTAGTGTGAGGCATCCCTGCCCATGGCAGGGGGTTGAAACTGGATGAGCTTTAAGGTCCTTTCCAACCCAAACCATTCTATGGTGAGAGTTACTTCCTTATGAATGTTGGTGTGTAGTTTTCCCAGATGTTATTCTCCAAGGTACCACTTGTGTTTTGTTGTCTTCCCTGCTGAGTGAACAAGGTGTGAACAGACAGTGGGTCTTCTAAAACTGTTCTCTGAGGTTGTTTTTTTCCTAGAAAATGCTGGAAGAAATGTTCTCTCTCCTTCCACTACCTTGATATTCTAACTTCTGAAATAAATAGCTAATTCTGACAGTCCGGTGTCTTCTGTAAAATGAGAAATTATTTTGATGATGCAGATAGCTTTGAATAATGTTTCACATTATTTTTCCTTTAATGTTGTAATGTAGATCTATAGAACTTTAGTTAGTCATTTTCCTGTGTAATTAAGAATTTTCCAAGAAACACTTAATATTTGTGCAACCACAGTTTTGTTCAAAAAGTAGAGATAATGTTTTCACAAATCTTTTCCTATAGTAAGAAAGTTTCTTTCAGGAATGGAGTAGTGTGGAGTAGGCTTAACTCCTCAGACTTTATTTTTTGTCATAACTCACCGCAGTAGGTCTAACAGCTGTAAAATTCTGGCTCTTGAGATTCTATACAGAACCTTCATTATGTTTTGGCTTTGTGGAAGTTGTAGCAATCCCTAGGTATGAAGAATACTTTTCTCCTGAGTACTAAGCTTTTTACAGAGGTAAAGTGCCTGACCAGAAGAACATCAAATGTTATCACCTGAATTAGGTAAAATCAGTTAACCAGTCTTTCCTGAACATATGCTTTATTTCTTACAGATGTTAGGACTGGCACAGGGCTGTTTTGACCACACAATTCCCTATACAAAGGAGAGAGTCCAGTTTGGGAAAAGTGTATTCGACTTCCAGGTACTTGTTAATGAGCACATGGGAAGTGTCCTCCAAGAGAGTAGTTGTTAACACAGTAGTTGAAGTCAGTAAAATGAGTAATCTGTTTTGTGTAAGTTGTGCTCCACCTCGTGTCATGTCTCCCCTTAATATTTGAGAAGAATTTCAGCTGAGCCACATAAAGTGTGTCAGTTCAGTGCTAAGTGCCTTTGCAAGTGCCATGTAAATACTTTAAAACTTCAAAGCATTGTTGGCATAAGTCCTTGTGCTTGATAGCATATTGACAGCCTTGGAAAATAATACACATGGAGCAGCTTTCTCTTCTGATTTTAATATCACAGTATGTTGAATGCGTGCCTAGTTTTGATACCCTTTCAGGAGGTGTAGGGGAAGGCCTTTTTCTGGACACTAGAAATAATAAAAAGATGAGGAAACTGATTGAATTATTAGATTTCCTGTGTTATATAAAGGCATTTTCATGATAATACCTGTGTCTTAAAACGAAAAGAACTCTTCGTTGCAAAAATGATGTATAGTTTAATAAGAAAGATATATAATTGTAATTACTATAGTAATTTTCTTGTTAAAAGAAACCTACATCTTGGCTGAAGGAACATTAGTACTACTCACAATTCATACAGGTTTTAGGAAGCGCCCACAGAGATCTAGGAAATGATCAGAACTGCGTCTTTTGAATGGAAAATGGAATTTCTAATTGCCAAATCATTTTGTTATTTTGACCTGCATATATATTTTTGCAGATTTTAGGGTGCAGTGTTAATGTTCTAATAAGATGAAAGATTTCATTGTGTTTTGGGTAAAAGTTAGACTAGTAAATGTTCGTTTTCAATCATAATAGTGTTAGGGGCCTCTTAAATAAACCCATTTTTCTGTAATACCTACTATTTAGATGTGAGCTCCATCACCTTTTTCCTTTCCTTCAAATCCATTCATTGGTCATGTCCTCTTTATGCTGCTCCTAACTCTTTGTCTCATGGCTATGGGACATGGGAAGAAGTATTTATCAGCCTGCTGGTTCTCGACTTTATTTGAGAGGTATTTGTTTTCACATCATCAGGGATCTAGGCTTATTAATGTATGAATGTGCTCATAGAGAGCTGCAAAATGAAAATACAGCTTTCACCTACCCATGTCTCTGCAGTGCTGAGGACAACATTGAGATTTGGCTGAAGCTTTCCCTGATATTCATGGGTGCAAACAGGTAATGCTCCTGCCCAGCCAGTCAGGCAGGGAATTCCCCAGTACTTCTGAATACAACAAAATACAACAAAAAGGAGAAAATGAGAGTGCAGTTCCTAAAAAGACTTTGGTGGCCAAGAGGTTTTCCCAACTTCAGTATCAATAGATGCAGAGGAATTTGGAATTACCAGTCCATTTGGATCTTGTATTTCTGTATTAAGAGTATAGGTATGTTCCTTGGTGAAAAGAATGGCTCTTGGTAGAAATCCCAGTTGAGTACTAGATCCTGGTTCTGTCTGACTTGTGGTGTCTTTATTACAGGGGATGCAACACCAGATAGCTCAGGTGGCCACACAGTTGGAGGCAGCCAGGTTGCTGACCTACAACGCAGCCCGTCTTGCAGAAACAGGAAGGCCATTCATAAAGGAGGCAAGCATGGCCAAGTACTACGCTGCTGAGGTGACTTGCAGTTTCTTTCTTCTGTGGCTTTATTTCCCCGCTGTTTAAAAGCTTAAGCTGTTGATGAATCATAGATGTGTAACTTCTAATTCATATTTGCAGTGCAATCTGTGGATGTACTTTTTATCTTGCTTCTCATTCCCAGTCCATGTACGGAATGTAAAGTAGACCACCTGTGAATAAACTGCTCACACCCCTAGATTTTGACAAGCAAGCAACAACATTAAAAGAGAAAATGAATTATTATCTTCACTCATCTAGAAAGATTGCACTTTGCCAGAATTCTCTTTTTGTGGATGGAGAAATGGCATTATGAGACTTCACTTGTGGCCATTTCAACTCTGCTGGTCACAACTGCAAGTCTTCATATGACTTAAAACTGGATTGCTTCTGCCTCTTTGTAATTGCTGCCTTGCATGCTGCTGCTGCTAGTCTTTTTCATAGTGCAGCATACGAACTATTGCACTAGTGGTTAGGGAGTTCTTGATGTCCTCTGATGCAGAAAAATGTCATTTTTATTCTAATTTGGCTTTATTCTAATTTGGCTCTTCCCTGTAAAGCGACTGCTTTAATTGCTGGTTTGTTTCTACTTTAAATAACTACAAAGGATAAAATTTACTGCCACCTGCATGAGGTTGGATCCTGAAATTATAACTCTGAAACTATATTCATAGGTTGCAACACTGACAACTAGTAAATGTATTGAATGGATGGGTGGCATTGGCTTCACAAAAAATTATCCAATAGAAAAGTATTACCGTGACTGCAAGATAGGTGAGTGATAGTTTCTTAAACAAGTGTTTCTTGCATCATTAGTAGTACTCAACTTGGAGGATGAATGACTGGCTATTCTTTGTAAGGTATTTCTTCCTTGAGTCTGTAATCGACACTGATTCAAAGGCTCAGATATAAGAAGGTAAAAGTTTAGGTATAAATAAATATGTATGTACGTAAGGCTAAAATGTTTCATTAGACACCAGTAAAATACAGGCACACACATTGTGTCCTATTCTATTAAGAAAATTACAGTTCAGAAAATATGACAACTTCTTTGGCTTTAAGCCCTGAATCTATGTGGAGTTTTATTTTCAAGACTTCCTTGTTTACCAGTATAATCCTGGGACCTAACACTTTGCCATTTCTAACTATATTACCCTTTGGTTTTATTGCTGATAGCATTTGTAAATACTTAATTTTGTTGGTTGTTTAGGAATTGCTTTTCAGGAAAATGTCTTGTTATTATGTGGTACCAGCAGAAGAGTACTTTAATTGCTGCATATAATAAAAGCAGGTTGCCCAGAGAAGCTGTGGCTGCCCCATCCCTGGCAGTGTTCAAGGCCAGGTTGGACAGGGCTTGGAGCAACCTGATCTAGTGGAAGGTGTCCCTAGTGGAACTAGATGAGCTTTAAGGTCCCTTTCAACCCAAATAATTCTATGATTTATATATTAGAATATAAATAATTATTGTTTTAAAAATTGTATTATAAATATACAATATAATTATAATTTTGTTTCTAGAACTTGCTCAGTAAATCTTTACTTTGTAATTGTAAATGTTTTAAATGAACTGTTAGAATAATATCTGGGTCTCTCTTTCATATACTCACTGTGGTTTTATAGTCTTCTAATATATTTTCTTCTGATTTCAGGTACAATATATGAAGGAACTTCAAATATCCAGTTGAGCACCATTGCAAAAAGCTTAGCAAAGGAGTACTGAAACCAGAAGGACTCAGGACTACTAGCGGAGTTGTTTCTCTGAACATTCATTGTGAATTACACATTTGTTTGTAATCATAAAAATCATTAATAACATCATAAATAGGAATACCTGATCACAGATGAAATCGTAAGGAAAACCATGAACCCATTTCAGAGCAGCGAGTGTGTAATTCATCTGGAATCGTGAATTCCACATTCAAATCCAAATCGTGGGTTAAAAAGTATTTCTTTCTGCCTGAGGGACTTCTAAGCTAACACACTGGCTGGTTGCCTTAGGTTATGCCTGCAGTGTATCTTCACTTTGAGACTTCAAAGTGAAAACAAAAGACGCCAAACCCTTGGCTTGCCTGGTATGAAAGATTCTGTTAAGCCATCTGGGAGACAAGACACTACACACGCAGCAGAACTGTTGCAGGGTATGAAGCTGCTGTTTGTTCATGATGCCCTTTATTAGCATGGAGAAGAGAGAGAAATAGAAGTGATAGTTTCCTCTCTCCCAGGTGGAGTGATGTCTGTGGAGCTGCTGTAATTGGAGTAATTTTTATAGTAGCCCTCAGTGTGTTCTTAAGTATATCTTGGTAATTAAGCCCTTCCAGCCCCAATTTGTAGTACTGAAAGGTAGATAATATCTACCTCTCTTTCCAGCTTTCTCAGCTGTTAAGGGTTTTAATCTAAGAGGCTATTTATAGTTTTCCTTTCAGAAAAGGTTGAGTTGAAATCTTTGTGAAATTGGGTAAAAAAAGCTCTAGTAGTTCTGCAAAAAGACAGATATAAGCTAGGTAATGGGAGCGCTATGATACTACCTCACAGTGGCCTTTCCATGTTCAATGTATTTTACAAACTTTAACCCTCAGAGCCCTTCTGGGGGTTAGGGAGGGACTGTTAATTTGCAGCCTAGAAAACTCGCTCATGGAAGTTAGTGGTTCACTGGCAAAGTTTTTCTCCTTTTGAGAGAAAGAGAGTGGGATTTGGGGAAGTATTTGCTTTTCTCTCTGTTTATTTTATAATCAGACATTTTATTTACAGTAGAAACCTCTCCAGTGCTGGAGATCTCATTAAGAATCAAGAGATAGAAAGCTTAATATATGAAAAATCATTATAATTGCTGTAATTGGCAATTTGCCTCACGTGTTTTGGGGAGGGAAGGATTGGTTTTGTGGTTTTGGCTGACTTAGGAGAATCTCAGTCACTGATGATTCACTTGGAGTGGAGTTTACAGTGTTACAGGCTGAGAGTCCCGAAGGATTTTTGAGCAAAACTGGGGTAAATGACACTTAACAAGTGTGGTTTTGTAAAACAAGCAGATGGCAGTGCCTTATACAAAGAAACAAGCAAAGAGGAACAGCGCTATTACAGACTTTCCTTACTTTCTGTCAGCTTCAAAGGTGTCCCTGCCCATGGCAAGGGGGTTGGAACTGGATGATCTTAAGGTCATTTCCAACCCTAACTATTCTGTGATTCTAAATGCCTGCTTTAGTGAATTAATCCCCCTGCATGGGCTCTTTGCCTGTTGATAGGCAGAAGGGCTTAATTACCAAGATATACTTAAGAACACACTGAGGGCTACTATAAAAATTACTCCAATTACAGCAGCTCCACAGACATCACTCCACCTGGGAGAGAGGAAACTATCACTTCTATTTCTCTCTCTTCTCCATGCTAATAAAGGGCATCATGAACAAACAGCAGCTTCATACCCTGCAACAGTTCTGCTGCGTGTGTAGTGTCTTGTCTCCCAGATGGCTTAACAGAATCTTTCATACCAGGCAAGCCAAGGGTTTGGCGTCTTTTGTTTTCACTTTGAAGTCTCAAAGTGAAGATACACTGCAGGCATAACCTAAGGCAACCAGCCAGTGTGTTAGCTTAGAAGTCCCTCAGGCAGAAAGAAATACTTTTTAACCCACGATTTGGATTTGAATGTGGAATTCACGATTCCAGATGAATTACACACTCGCTGCTCTGAAATGGTATTCTGCTTTGGGATAAAGGTCTGAGGCAGATTTCCACAGAAACGTTTAATCACTACTTGGGAAGTGCTGAAATACAACATTTCATATGATGTTTTCTGTGCTGTTATTCTTTCTTCCACATTTGCTTTTCCCCATGTAAAGATTGTGTTAGAAAAGGTTTATGTGAAATATAAAGTAATTGTTCATTGGGAGCCCTTTGCTATGTAAAGAATTTTCTAATTAACATGTTATTGCAGTTCCATTTGGAAATCTTTTGGTGAGAGGCACATTTCAAGCTCTTAAAAATACTCTGTTCATGTGCAATAACAAATACATTTGGAACTTAGATGATCCTAAGGCTCCCTTCCAACCCTAACCATTCTATGATTCTGTGATTAGGTAACTACAACTTACCAGTGTGTTCCCTAATAGCTTCTTTCATAGATAAGAGCATTCACACATTGATTTGTATTGGTATATTAATGTTCAGAAGAATGTGCAATGTACAATGTAACTTTTCTGATAAACTCTTTTAAAATATAAATCAAAACTATGTATGGTCTCAATGGGCAGTAATAGCTTTTATATATATTCTGTCTTTGAAGATCATTTGAATTTATATCATTCTGAAACTCTTCTTCCTTTCTGTGTCTTAGTAGCTGTAGAGCTACTAATACTGGAGAACTGTACGTAGAAAACAACCTCAAGGTGACTTCACTAAAGATCCTAAAGACAGAGCACTCTCGACCTGACAGAAAACAGTGTCTCAACAGCCAAGTAGCCATCACTTTCAGAACTGGATTTATTTAATCCATACAATGAGGACTTCTGAACATGCAGGAGATTATGTTCATCAGACATTTTGCAGGGATCTCTGAAGAAAGAAAAGCTCTTCCATAAAAGAAAGAAAGAATCAAATAGCAGCGGGAAAATCTAAAATACAGCAATAAATCCCCAACTTCCACATTGCTGGTTTGTGTATTTGGGGGTCTCCTAGCCAGGAAATAAGCATATATGGACTGAAACCATCAGGTCTAACCATCAGTTTGGAGTGTTACACAACCCATTGTCACAGTTTGTGAGTTTTAAAAACCTCTGTTGTAAATGGCCAGATGAAGCAGGGCTTGAGTGCTTTGGGTGTGTTGAACAGGGGAGAGAAGGCAACTTGCAGACACGAGCAGGACTGACAATGAGCTTTGGTTCATCCGTAACGGTGGCTGGAGGGTCACAGTGGGAAGGCACTGAAGAGCTGAAATGGAACATTACTGTTTGTTTAGAGACAAATGCAAGTGGGCAGATCAAGAAATGTCTTGATGTTTTCCAGCAGTGAGATGACTTTCCCAGTGTAGAGAGAACAAAGGAGCTGCAGTACAATGGGTTCATGTTGAATTTGCATCCGCTGCCTCTCTGTCCCTTAAGTTTGGTGGATTCAGTTCTGGAAAGTTCCCATTTTGGAGCCTGCAGAAAGACTCTGGTTGGGTCTCCACTTCATAGGACACAAGAAGCTCTGATACAGACTTCCAAAGCTGGTGTTCTGCTTGAGGGGTTGTTCCCTGCCTTCTCTTCTGGACATTCAGCCAAGACTTCTAAACTACGACCCACCCATCAGAGGAACAGAGTAATTTTCTATCATCCTTGCCATCACATTCTTTGCTCCAAGTGTCTTGAATATTTTTGGCCTGATTCATTTTCTAGGACATGCTGCAAGATTTTTCTGTTCACTAATTTGCATCCTAAAGATGCAGATTAAATGCTAATTGTTCAATGTAACCAGAGCAGTCCTCCAGCTTTAATTTGATACTGGGTCACTGAGGTTTTCTGCCTTTGTTTAGGTGGTACCCAAAGAGGTGATAATTACATTTTAGACATTAGTTTGGATATTTTTTGTTTCCCTGTATGGATACAAAAAGTAGAGATTGTGAAAGGTAAATAGAGTCCCAGAGGCTGCAAATGTTATTTATGCTAGAAAGTATTAGCTAATAGAACTTTGGTGATGCATTGTGCATCCAGCATTGACTAAAGGACCAGCTGAAGCGATAAAGCCACCTTTGAAATGATGCTGAGTTTGTAGGCACAGTGTTTTACTTTGTGTGTGTGTGTTTTATCTCATAGGGAACAGCTTTGTATCAACTCTGCTAAACTGACCCAAAACCAACCAAGAAATAATTCAGAAAGTGTAAAGTTAAGGTTCTGGCAATGTGGTTAAATTCTGAAAAGCTCCATAGAACCATGGTTTATTAATGGAGCTGTTGAAGACAGAGTTGGTATGGAGCAAATGCAGTTTAGTGCAAACTACTGCATTAGACACGCTATTCTGAGGGGGAGGCTTTCACACATGCAGCATTGCTCCAGTTGCTCCCATAACAATTGAGGCAAAGCACTTTTTTCAGTGTAGGTACTTTTTGAACTTTGGAAACGTTTTGTGACTCCCTGTTACGTCCTAGAACATGGTTACAAGATACAAAGTCTCTGCCCGTGTTCATAGTCTTTGTTTCCCCATGGTCTGAGAGAAATCCCTTACATTCCACTGTGGGATTTTTACCAACCCCAAACTGTTCCTCTCCCTTCCTAAACACCAAATCACTGAGGTCTGTCCAACCAAGCTTTAAAAAGAACCATTTTCTCAGTTTAATTGTAGCAATGGCTACATTTGTTTGATGTGGCAAGGTTATTTTGATGGTTGCTTGAATAATAAAAGCTAGGTTCTACAAGCTATTTATCATAAAACGTATTTGGCTGCCATGCAGGATTCAGTTCCCAAAGTCCATGGTAAGGTGCAGCAATAGGTCTTCCATTTTATGCTAGAAGTATTTTAGCTCTACTCTACTTTGACTTCAGTGGTTCAGTTGCAGAGATAAACAACTCTCTAGAGGTAATATAACTTATCATCACTTAAGAGTTATTCAAAATATACCTTGTTATCCTTGTGTAAGGATCTGGGTCACAAGAGGGTTGTGGCTGTCCTCTGATTCTTGAGGGGGCTGACACAGCACTGGGTTAAAGCACCCGATGACCTGGTGTCTCAGACTGTTGCCAACCCTCTCTACATTGCTGCTTCTGTGTAGAAGTGTCCAACCCCCTTTTTTTTCCCCTTAACTGTAAAAGCCTTCTGGCACTGAATTACATCTATTTCTTGACTGAAACATATCTGCTCTATGCTAACCTCATTATCCAGGAATGATTTCTAGAAGAGGAAGTGAAGAATAATTAAATCATTCCTAACTGAAGGAAATGCTTCACAGAACTATGCAAATTCCAATTTGGCCAAGATGCTGTGGTTTCATGTTCTATTTCTGGGAAGGGCAGAGGGAGGAACAGCTATTTTTGGAGTGGTGGATAGCCACGTTCTGACTTCGCTTTTCTCTCTTGCTTTGAGATCATGTTGTGACAACCCTGGTGAGAAGGGAGCACAGTACCTGTCATCGCCGGCTTCTCCATACCTGCCCGCTTGCTGCAAGTCTCATCTGCCGTGGTTCCTGTCTCCTGAGATCACAGAATCCCAGACTGGTTTGGGTTGGAAGGGACCTTACAGCTCCAACCCCTGCCACGGGCAGGGACACCTTCCACTAGAGCAGGTTGTTCCTGTGTCCAACCTGG